TCCGGGAAATGGTATCATATGGTATCACGGTATCAGTAAGACCTGTGAGTAGAACAGTTCAGTCAATAGAATTGAATCATCGTCTCTCCTGTTCAATCTAGCCGTTCATGGGTTGCCGACGCATGAGCAATAAATGTTTCCCTCTTTTCATTAAGCCTCCCTGTCTCCTGAAGCACTGTGAATTGCAAGAAAACACACATGAAATTCTTGTTGGACGTGTCTCAGCCCCACTGTGGCGGATAGTCCTTTCGCATGCTTCACTCAAGCAATATGGGAACTTACCGAAAGGCACACACTTGACCAAAAAGGAACCCTTTTGCCTCTTGCCTTCGGAAAAATGAGGTGTGGTTAACTTGTGTCCCTGGCACTTGTTATATACTCCTTTCTTGTTTGCAAAACACACCACATCCATCCCACACAATTCGGGTCAGCAAGGTGCACAAGCGAAAGAGTTTGGTGCTCGTAAGTCCCTTCAGCACTGCTTCTCCAGGGCAAATGAAGCGTTCCAGCGTCATCTTGGTACCTGCAAGTGCGTGGCCAAACACGGCCTTCGGTTGCCAAGGGTCCAAGGGACTACAACCGCACAGTGGGCTCCAAGGGTTTGTACAAAGCATACTCTTTAATCACAACCAAACTGCGTAAGGAAGAGGCGACTTCAACTTTCAACAAAATCCTTTCTGCTATGGTAGGCTTCATTTTAGCATCATAAACGATGCGACTTCACCGCTTGACTTGCTTTGGGATCAGCAAAAAAGGTGAAACGGCCTCCCTAAACCCTACTCTAATGGGTGCGGAGAGTCCAGCCACCCAGCCTGCTCCTCGGATTGGCCGGGAAGCAAAACCCCACGGAAAAACCGTGGATCCGGCGAGCCTTCGGACTACCTCCCCCAATCGATGGAGGCAGCCAAAATCCTCTGTTTCGGTCTTGCAGGAAGTGGAAGGAACTGGAAGGAACTCCCTATACGGTCGAAACCAGGCCTCCATGTTTGAGAATCGACTCATAGGTCCGGTGTATATGAAGGTCGTTTCGTCCTAGTGATCGAACCGTAACACCACGGCTTGCTATCGCTGAGGTGGAAAAACAACTGCTGACGCCGCTATCCGTCATAGGCATCCGTCTTTGGACGATTTTTCGACTCTCCGGAGGTGAGAGCAACCAACGAAAAAGAGCAGTGCTTCCAACCATCTCAGACTGAAAGACGAAAGACTCAGCTGAAGGAGTTGTTCACTTCGATCAAACCCTCCTAGTCAGTGACCTGATGAAGACTACAGAACAAAAACCAGGTAATTAACCAACTTGAAGCATGTATGACGCCCAAGGACCCCCCCCCAAAAAAAAACAGAACCGGTGTCTTCCACTCCCTCGTCTGACTGAGAACGCCGAGCTGCCGCAAAGGGGGGAGCGCGACTGAAAGGCGGCACGGACCTCGGGTCGGACGATGATCTTCCCTGTCTTCTCAGGCGCGTTCTCCTGAGGCGGAGGTGGGGCGCCAGGGTCGGGCGAGGGCAGCAGAGGACATGAGAAGCAGCTTGTGCTTGGGAGCTTTGGAGCTTTGTAACTGGTTTCAGGTCAGAAAGTTGTACAACACTGGCAAGCAGGAGCAGGGAGGTAGGTTCCAAGCAGCCCTGATAGCATCATCTCCTATTTCAGTCAGGGCCATAGGAAACGAAAGCCAAACTGTGTGCTTCACCCAACTTCACCACATGATTGTGGGTGAAAGGCACTGAAGGGCACCTCTAAGGCTCAGTTTGGAGGCCTGAAAAACGCACCGCGGTCCAAAGTTTGTTGTGGATACCGTGGATGCTATCTACAATCTGCCCAGAAGAACTTATAGACCTCAATGTGGGTACAAGCCAGTAGGCACCTCTATAGTTTGTCAAAGTCTCGATGCGGACATCTTCCAAGTCCACTTTGATGAGGCGCCCACCCCAGGGGCATCCACAATGAGATAACCTTAGTATTCGGTGTCCTTTGGAATGGCCGAACCTTCCGTCCCACACCATCACTGCGAGATTGTATATTTATATATATCCCTAGGGCTCCAAATACTTTCTGAGGTGTTTAGGGTGGGTTCAGAGGGTCCAAATACCTTCTGAGGAGGTACTTGGAGCCCTAGGGTATATACACAAGTACAGCTAAAGAACTGGCTGGCTGGCTTTTCAATTGCTATGGCCCGGAGTAAGTTGATGCGTGCTTCACTCACATGTTTTTCTTCGTTCATCAGTGGAATGGTCTTGATCCATGTGGGCCACCTCTGTATGGTCTTCTCGCAGACTTGGGTACCATGCAGCATCTGCAGGGTTTGGGGCGGTTCCAAAAGCCCTGCGACAAACTCCTGGGCGAGGGAGATATGCTGTGGAAAACTGGGTCAACATGTGTTCCCGCATGTTCCATCCTGAAAATAGGAATCATAATGAGATCTATTGGATGTCTGCCTGTAGCGAAAAAAACATCGAGGGAAGTCGTTAACTTCCAATGTGATGGCATCCAAATCTGCTTGTTGATTGGAATGAATTGCAATGACTTAGGGTGAGTTGAATGCTTCTTGTATTGCTTTCTTATCACCCATCATGATGATGTTCCATTATTTACCCACATGATTAATCCATGTCTGGCTGTGCACTCCAGGAATTCAGGAGTTTGCTTACTGATTCTGCAGCTATTGACACTTATAACTTATAACAAATGTTTGCTCTCCCAAAAAGGCTCAGCAACTTGGCGTGAGGCCTCTTCATAGCGACCTCCTGGGCTGCTGTCAGGGACGGCTTTGTCAGGCTATCTTCAGTCGAGCCGCTGCTTGAGAAAAGCAGAAGCACAATCGGTTCAGTCAGGGACGGGAGTCCGGACCAAACATAGGAAACCAACAACAAAAGGCAGATCATGGCGGGGTGAGCATATACACAACAAACAAACACAAGCTCCCCAAAAGGCTATTCTGCAGCCGACGGTGAGTCAAGCCTCTTGCTGGCGATGATTTCGGGCTCACTAATTGAACTGACGTCCTAAGAGGATTTGAGACTTCAGGATTTTATTTTGTTGTAGAGCGGGGTGCGTTCCTTTTCTCTTCAAAGTCCCAGTGGTTGGCAGCTGTGAATGAAATGACCAGTTGTACACTCCTCTCACTTTCTCACAAAGGACAGTCATGACTGGAGCGGAAACAGAAAAACATTACATCCATCATCTACATCATCTATCCCCCGATCATGCGATACAATGCAATTTTTGTGGCCATGTTCATCACTAAAGGTTGACTTCTGCATCAGCCACTCCGGGAAGTCACTGTGTGGCAGGTGTATCTCAACTAAATGTAGACGATGTGATCAATCTAAGACCAGCTATCCATGGGTTAGGCAATGCTATGCAAAATTACGTGACTTGCGGGTTCCCCAACGAAAACCTGGTCTCGCTTGGGATATGCATGACCAACATCCGACCACCGGCAAAACGCACCTCTTCCTGCTGCGGGATCAGTTCATCACACGTTTTTGAATCCAAGCCAGGCTGCCCATCCATCTTCCAATAACCTCAGTCAATGAATTGGTTTAAGGGAAAATCTGCAGGAAACCCATCCTTTATGGGAGTGAACGCCGTTGTTTCCTGTAGATGTTCCCTTAAACAAATTCATTCACGGCGCGGCGTGACCATTCTAGGGTTGTTTCTTGACTGTCGCAGAGTGCATTGCAAATAATTCCAGTGCCTTACCATGGATCATGATGGTAAGCATGACTTCTACTAAACATGGATTCAGGGGAATAGAAGACTGCAAAATCATACCAAAGTAAGATTCCTACCTCCCAAATCGGCAAATTACCTTGCACTCTCCGGCTGTGGTACCTCTGATGGCTAATGCTGACGGAGATTGAAGAAATACTTGAAATTGAAGCAGCACTCCCAAATTCATCAAGTGAGACTTGAAGAAGTACTTCCCACTACTGCTCTTCTCCATTGGTCCATCTCCTCAGAGCTGGGAGGCAAGTGAGGCACGCGTCGGAACCATTCCTCGACTCCTTCTGGTCGGGAGGGCTCCGGCATCATGTCGGCCATGTTCTTCGGCGTTGGCGTTGGCGTTAGCTGCTCTCGTGGAGACCCGGCGATTGCAAAGGCTGCGGGACATGGGCGATAGCTGCGGGACACTCCAAGCACGAAAAACGATCAACACACAGTACACACCGACCAGCTGCGTGACAAAGCACCCCCAAGTAGAAGTATGTCGTCTTCCAAACCAGCTCGCAGGCCATGGGCTATTTGTTTACCAGGAACTGCAAGATCTGGGCATATCTGGGTGGAGCTGCGGCTAGACTCTACATATTGCAACCATAAAGGCAAAAAAAACATGACGCCATCAAAACCTCTCAGGCTCATGGCCCGGTATCCCAAAATCAAATGGAAACGCGTGACATGTGTATATAATGGTATATATATATACAGTATATAGAAGGAATGGCAAATATGGAAGGAACACCAATCTGCAGTTTGCCAATCGGGTTTGTGTACTTTGTGGCCACAAACATTGGACATACCTAGATGGATGACAAGGGAAGCGATATGCGCCAATGACACATTCTTTGCTGATTGAAGGCATTTGCAAGCAAATCAAGAGGCAAGCACACTGGTAAACCTCACGTGAGAATCAACATCTAGCGTAGCAATGGCAAATCCTCTCAAGCTGCACACTTCTTGGCAAACCCAAACAAAAGAAGAACCTCTCGACTCCATGGTAGGTAACTACTGTCATATCGAACACAGGAATACTCCCAAATCAAGGGCCGTTCTGAAGTCCTGTGTCCCCGGAGCTTGTGAACAATGGACCTTCCATGAAAAATGCACTTATAATTGCAGAAGGATGACAACACTGTGATCTAACTCTGCAGATATACACCAATTTTCATACAGTACCCCTGTCTTCAGTCATCTTTACTACTAGTTCTGCCCAAACCAACCCTCCGAAGTACCTCAGTGTTTCGCTCAAATCCCGTTTCGTTTCCGTGCGTCAAGGTGCCTCCGGCGCGCGCCCCGCCAGCTCGACGAATTGAAAGCCGCGGGATCGAGTACAAGATCGAGGGCATCGAGGCGATCATGTCTCGATTTGGAGATTTGCTAAATATACTCCCTAATATATATATAGTACACATAATATTACATTATAATATACTAAATATTAAGCATGCTTTTGCCAAATGTATAGTTCACAAATGTATATATATATATATGACTTTAGAATTCATGATAATTAAGTCTATCCATGAGGGTCTGCAGTTATATGCATTCATACAACATCCGGTGGAGGGCAACACGTAAGATCTGTGGAGTGGAGGGGTTCGCGAGAAGCAATTTCGGCTTCCGAGAAGGCACCAAACCTGCTCTCCCTGTCAAGGATCGGCTCTCAACCAACAAGATGCTACCCTGCTTTCCCATCTGAGAACGGGACAACCCCTATGGAGGCAAGGAAGAGATTGAGTGGAAGTGCCGGCTTCCAAGTAGACTGATTCTGAGATATTCCATGATAATCATCCTTAGGATTCTAGGCAGCATGAAGCTGCACGCGATGTTAAATAAGTCTACCCCACAGGGTGGACATGACCAATCTGGCATTGCTTTCTGATCACTTTCTTCCGAAGGTGTCATGCCTACAACGAGAGGAGGGTCTTTTGCCTTGGCCGGTGGAGACCATGCTGGAGACTTCACGGTCTACCCTGACACTCCATGGCACTGGCATACCTAAGAAGCCTTACCTTGTAGTGGCTGAAAAACAACAGGGCAAAGATGGGCAAAGTTGGCAAATGTACGGTAAATATTCCATACGTTTCCATCCAGTGACTGGAATATGTCAGGATCACCCCGAAACCATGGACAAAACCAGGCAACATCCTGGCACCAAAGCAGTTTTTCAATGGGTTCAGATCCCCCCTTTATCCCAGGGGTTCCTTCACTATCCAACCAGGTCCCCTCTTTATCACGCCTCGGCCATGCGGCCTGTGCATCCCGCAAGGCCCTCAAGAGCCCGTCAAAGCCAGGGGTGTTGCAGCCCTGGCATCTGAACCAAGATCAAATGGATCAGACGGATCCAAAACCGAGTGTGGGGTTTTCCTTTTAGTACCAGGCAGAAAAGGTTATGTATATATATATATATGGGTGTTTCCTTAGTAACGGGCAAAAAGCTATCTAGATACACATAGCTTGAGCAAATGGTTCTCCGCACACATCTGCAATGGCAGTGTCCATCGGGAGTTGTTCGCGCGCGCTCTCTCTCTCTCTCTCTCTTTCTCTCTCTCGTGTCACCAACCGAGGTGTAGGCGGTGCACGAGAGTTCGCTCTTCCAGCCACAGAAACAGTCTAAGTGACTTCAACAATTAGCAGGTCCTCTTGAAAACAGTATTATATAATATGTAATGTAAATATATGATTTATATATAATATATTACATTATATATTATAGACACCCTCTGGTCAAGAGGGAGCCACTGGTTTGGCTATACTTTTGGTCATGTGTATATTGCTTGGTGTGTCAACACCACTCCAAAAGTCGAACAAGCTCTGTGCGCAGCTTGTAAGCAGCATTTGAGATCAACATAGATCAACTTGAGAGGAGGGAGACACGAAAGGCAGGACAGCAATCGCAAGTCAAACTCAAGGTATCCCCTAAAGGGCTACCTTTCGTGACAATATTCTACAATTCTTTCCTCCAGCTTGCCACAGCTCGTTGCAAGTCCAATTCATGTTAAGGGGGATCATGTGCACTATCTGCCCAAGGCTTCAGTGCACCCCCCCATCACCAGATCTTCGCAAAGGCCTTGAAGCGTTGTGCGACTAAGTATCGCCTCGGCCATGGGTCAAGACTTCTTGCTCTGCAAGCACTGATTCAATGGTGTTTACTAAAGACGCAGGACTTTCAACTCAACAACAAGCCCCGCGCTGTTTCATGAATAGTCTTGGGGTTCTCCTGTCTTTGGAGCTTTTTGTTCCTAGATGTTCCTAGTCACCCGCTCCAACCGGTCGCTTTTCACAAGGTTTAGTGCGACCTCGCATGCAAATGAACAAGAGAAACCATGAAACTGACTTGCGACTCAGGGTAGATGATGTTTATAATTCCATCATCCAAACGCAACCCGAATGTCCTAAAACGTCCAAAGTTTATCGACTCCCAATCAAGCATTTTTGGAGGGTTGAGGTTTGTGCTATCTACTCCGAAACCACCGGTCACCGCACAGGACACATCCAAAAAGAATGGAAGACGAGCGAACGCTCCCAGGTCGCCCCGGGAAGGCCGGTCGCTCATCTCAGCAGCTCCCAGGTCGCCCAGGTCGCGCAGTCACATGGTCACGGAGCAGTTTTCTTTTCAGCGCCCTCATTCCAAATAGCTCTCGAACGGCCGTAGGCGCTCAGCCTCACCAGCAGACCAATCCTGCGACTACTCAAGGCACGAACTCATCTAGAGAGAGTGGCACGACTCCATGCTGACGATTTGGTGAGAAGTGACACACCCCGCGACCATCACTCACTTGGAAAGCATCATGAAGTTACATCAAAGGAAGTGACCTCCTTTCAGACCATCAAAGGAAGTTACATCCTTGGAAGTGGATGTCATGACTTCGAAAGGATGACCATGTTCCAAATACCAAGCGGGTGGAGTTCAGCTCGGGGAGGACATGGTGGCCGCGGGAATCGGGGAAGCTGAGTCTAAATCATGGTGGAAAAAAAAACGGAATGACCTTTCAAAGGAGCCTGGAGTCTACATCCTGGACACCAAAGTGCTGATAATTAAAGGTTGATAACTAGCTAGCTTGATATGTATATATATAATGTAGATGCCTAGAACTTGAGTCACCTTCATTTGGGATCACTCACCACCCGAAATATGATCTGTTCCCATCGAAACTTGAGGCCAAATTGGTGTTTACAAGTGGCACAGTTGTGGTGAGACGCGTTTCATACTTGCGTCTATCAAATGAGTTGTGAGTAGTTGCTTTCCAGGCTCAACATGGCTCAACCAAGGCCCCTGAACATACTGAAGTGCATTTTCCATGTCCATGTGCTTCTTGGCATGAAGGAATGTCAAAGTCTTAGCACCTGATCTACGATCAATAATCTCTTCCTCAAGTCGTCCCTTCTGCCCGGAAAGAAATAACACCTCCCAAGTTCTTGCATCAAAGAAATCATCGACCCCCCTCCAATCTCAGGGATTGTTCCAAGACTTCAATCAACTCACAGCAGGGCATATCACCAGCATGGGCACTTCTACGTTGGCTCCACTAGCAGTGGCATTCCCAAGCGGGAACGCAACCAAACTTGGGACTTCTTGAAGAACACCTCCAGCCGTTGATCCCAGCGCCACTAGCGCAACCGTCCTCCAAATGCTTCCGGGAGATCTCGTCAATTGGCTCCAAGCTTTGCCTCAACTTTGGCACTTTCAGAGGTTAGGGTTCTCCCATGTGTTGCCATTGAAGCCACGACAAAGTTGCTGCAAGCGACATGCACTTCTAATTGCGTTGCAAACTTTCATAAGCTACCAAACCCTCACTAACCTCCAGTCGTACTGTTTTGTGAACCATGCGGAGGCACAAAGTCCATCAAAGGGGGGATGTCGGAGTTTCATGAGACCTATACTGGAAGCAGGCTTGCCCCTTTGTTTCACTTCAACCTCACTCCTGCAGAATGGTCGGGGCATGTTCAGCGATCTTGAATGCACTGGGGAGTTCACCAAAACCCCACGCACCCTTTCGCCAGGGCGGCAGAGTTTCTTGCAAATCGCTGGGCAAGGGCGAGACCAGCTCCTGCTTGCTTCGATGCTCACGGAATCGGCCCCCAACACACGAGAATGAGACCTAGTTGACTCAACACATGCCATGAACCTCCAGGACTCCAGAAAAGGCAAACCCTAACAATGCCGCAGTGCTGCCCCCCACATTGTCTGGGCATGCAAAAACCAGAAACCATGATACACCACCTGCTCCAAGATTCTCCACACCACAAGGCTTGCCTTCTCAACGAGAATAACCATTAAACAATAAGCATTCTCCCGGGGAGAATCGGGTCTGCGAACACTAAGGCCTGAAATCTCAGGCCATCTCAGGCCTCCTGAGAAGAAAGTGCAGCAAAATACCGCATCAAAATTCCAGTGTCCCCATAGCTGCTGGCAACAGTTTCTGATTACATCTGGGCCGTACTGAGCGACCTGGGTCGCTCACATCGGGTTTCCCGGGATGACGAGACACACCGAGACCATCCGAGACCCGACCGGCTCAGGGGAGAGTGGGGTAGTTCTCCCCACGACCTTTGGACCCCAAAAATAGGAAGAAAAACCAGTGACACCTGAAAGAATCGCTCTTTTGGAAAGCGGATTGATTTCCTAGGATTATGATGTTGAGCCACGTTGAACCAAGATGAACCGATCTTGAGGACTTTTACTTTGCAGCCACATAGGCCACTGACAAGCATACTTCAGCATATCCACGTTCCACACAGTGGAACAACTCCCCCTTGGTCTGTTCGCCGCAGCTGCTCGACCGCGTGGTGTCACCCGCAGCTCCTCGCCTGCACTGGACCCCCGTGGGGAGAGGCCTCGAGCTCCTCCACGCTGGGGAGATCTCGGAACCTGAGAGGCAAAGGGCGTGGTTCCCAGTAAAGCACCATGGCCGTGGCCGTTGGGGCAAGGGCATGGAAAGGCTGTATATAGTATATAGTATAGTATATATATACTTATAGCGCTTATAGCATAGACCAGTGCTTGCCACTCAGAATATTACATATATAATAATCATATTATGAGCAAAAGAAAATCCACGAAAAAGGGAACATGACATCATGATGTTTTTCGCTTCCCAGCTAACCTCTCAGCCCGGCCACGCTAGGCGATAGGTGTGGAGGAAGTTCCGCGGACACCAGGCACGGTCCTCCGTTAAGTGCTCTTCCGCATACTTGGAATCCTTAAAGCAGCAAGAAAAGCACGTGACATGCAGATGCCTCAGCGAGAGAAAGGTCAACAAAAACACATCACCTGCAAAGTAGATGACACACCATGGCTCAACCAAGCACAACGCCCAAGTGAAGAATAGTTATGCAACTCCCCACCTAGACTTACATGTTTGATGTCTAGTACTGTACTATATAGTGCCATCATGTGCCATCTACTCTGCAGCCAAACTCGAGGACGGCTGGAGAAGCGTGTCGTCACTGCGTCACCGGCCGTCACCTCACGTGGGGCTCCGAGTGGCAGTGACCAACGGATGGCCGATGGACAACATGTGAACACCTCAGAGCACGGAACCCGCTGAAAAAACCGGGTGGGCATTGGAAAAAACACCAACAGAAGCAAAAACACACGGTCACATGCCCAACGTTGCAGGCCTCTGGGAGATAGCTTGGGGGGCTTGGACTCTGTCTTCGCTTGGACGAAAAGAATGGTCCTGGTCCTGAGGTGAAAAGGAATGTCCTTTACTTCTCAAAATCTAGTCTTTGGACTTCTGAGGTGTAAATCTAGTCTTTGGACTTCTGAGGTGTAAACATTTGAGCAGGACACGAAAGGAAAACTCACAAAACGAACGACGTGCGTTCTCGCTTCACTGATTTACGATCATGTTCTGCTAGATCTCCCAGTCGTTTGTTCCAAGCATGTCCAGCCAGTGCTTTCCTTTACTCTTTCGCCCCTTTTTAGAGAGATGTCACATGATCAAGCCCCATGGACAGCATGTCCTTCCCCCAAGTAGCCATCACCAAGTCCAAGTCAGCCGGCCCGATCGGCGGCGATCGACTGAAAGGACAATTCCGTGAGGATCAAACACTCCCCAGCTGAGCAGCGGATCTGATGGGTGCGTCCGGTGTGGAGCTTCAAAAGCACCAGGGAGTAGGGCTCCTGCCAAACAGGCTAGAACAGAGCAAAGCTCCCAAGGTCAAAGGGTTGTCACTTGGACCATCACATGATTTCATATGAGTTCGTCGATGGTCACCGGGGGGAGGATCTGTGTCACATTTATGGCCAACATAACACCCGTTTGGGCTCCTGGCCCACCTCCGTTTCGGTTCGATGGGCCAAGGGTGGGTGGATGCCAGAGGGGTCGAATACCACCGGTCACCTGAGGAGATGGGACAGGAGCCCAAATGGGATCAAAACCCCCATGTAGAGCCTCACAAGGCTCAGTGTATTCCGCTCTGCCCGTCCGATCCTAGCCGATCCCTCTCCTCAGTGCCCTGTCGCTTCAAGTGGGCTAAGGTGAAAAGCTCCTGGGCGTCCGGAGGGCGTCCGGAGGGTGCGAATCAACCATACGTAGTCACACTGTTCTATAAGTCACAGCTTCAAGATCGTGAACATGATCGTTGGAGGGATTCCCAGACTGCGGCTGAGCACAACTAGACAGTTCAGCTACCAGGAGTGAGGGGATTTTAGACCCAAAGTGAGGGCATAGAGGAGGCGTGCCCTCCAATAGGCAGCCCCTTTGGACCTCCTGGTGTTTTCAGCTTCATGAACACTAAAACTGGCCGGTGGTGTCATTTCACTTGGAACCATATTAGCCAGTGAGCTCAATCATCCCAAGTAGAGCTAGACAATATGACAATATACAAATGACTAACAGTATGTGAAACCAACACCCAGAAAGATAAAGTAATAACATTCTGGAGTCTCTGGAGACAATTACTGAAGGGCGGCTTGAGAGAAGGGATCAGGCACCGCACTTGTTGAAGAACCAGCAATGCTGGAGTTCATGTTCAGATTTGGATTTCACCCTGAGGACTGGATTGGAAGGGCCCTCAGAACTGAATTGATGATAGTTTTTGACACGGACAACCCATGCAAATTCACTGAACCCTCCTCTTCCTCTTCTTCTTCTTCTTCTTCTTTCTCCACCTTCAGTTCTGCACCCCCATCCTACCATACCTTACCTCACCACCCCTCACCCTCTCACCAAACCCCTCATCCACCCCTCACCCTCTCACCCAACCCGGTCATCGTCACCGCCCAGCATCCGTGAAGGAAGGCTTTCCATTGGGTCCCACCGTGCAGTAGGTGGACACCGTCCGCCGACTGTTGGGCGCTTTTCGCTTCTCGACGCCTCAGGGCTGACCGAAGAGTCCGAAGTTGAACTGGGTGGACTGAAGAGTCTTAAGACAGCCGAATCTTGAAAGTCACGAGTCCAAACTCTGTAAAAACCTCATCTGTTCCGCGGCACCACCGGAGCTCGCGGTTCCGCGGCCCCACCGCGCGGTCGTGAACCGCGTTCCGCTGCGTTCCGCTCCTTTTTGTGTTGCTCCGGCAGGTCCCACGGGGTTCACCGCGGAACACGCGGCGGTTCCCGGTGGCGAGGTTGGGAGGGTGTTTCTCAGGAGTCGAAGTAGGAGTTCTCACTTCCTGGGATGCGATGCGATGGATGAGGTGACTTCAGACCACTCTGGGGGAACCACCCTGGGGGACGGATGACAGGTGACTTCAGAAAAACACCACTCTGGGGGACGGCCGGTTTCGGGTGTTTCTTCTGCCTGGGCGGCATCCTGACTTGAAAGGGCAAATGGTTGGGAAATGGAATTTTCAGAGAAAGATCCCTAAAGCAAGAAGACCGCTATGCCAATTACCCCACAAAACAAAACACACACACACACAATATGACGCGTTTTTTCCAAACGACATCTCATATCTTCACATGACCCACTACATGACTCCGCCAGACCCCACCACCCTTCACCGTCCCATCTTCACCCTTCCATCCACCCTTCACCGTCCCAGCATCGTGGTTTCGGCACCGGTCGCTTGGTGACCTCTTTGATGACTCCCACGCCCACGGTCTTCCCTTGGTCGCGGATGGCGAAGCGTCCCAGCGGCGGATAGGCGCTGAAGGGCTCCACACAGACCAAGGACCGAGGCCTCCTGGGAGCGTGGAGGGCTGAAGGGCCCAGGTGAATGCTGGACTGCCTGAGGGGACAAGTGCTGGTGAGCCAGGGGAGCATGGGAGCTGTCGAATCATTGAAGAAAAGGGAGGTGTTTATTTTGTTCCAAGTGGAGTTGAGGACTCGGTGGAGCGATACAGTACCTCTTTGGGTACATCCAAGGCTTGAGGAGAGGGACACCCGTGTTCAATCACGGAGGGAGATTTGAAGTCTCACTGGTTCAATCACTCTCAAAACAATTCACTCCACAACTCATCGACTCCACCTATACTGGATTGAGAGTAAATGGCACTATCTACACTCCCCTTAGGTGGTTTATCTGGACGCCCATCTACAAACATCTTGGGGTGCCAGTGCCATGGAACTCACTCACCTCTGAAACCACTGCACCTTGAAGCCTTGAAACCTTGGATGCAGTGGGTCTCAGCATCAACACGTTGCTGTGGGTCTCAGCGTGTCTCAGCCATCGGATGTCGTGCAGCCATCCTGTCGTCAGCTTCCTTCACTGCATGGGGACCCCCACGTAGATCGAAACGATCATGAAACGATCATGAAACCATGTCCAAGACATTGGATATCATGGTATGCCCCCCAAAATGGTGGTACACTCTGACTCTGACGAACACATCACATGGAAGTGGATAGCATTGCCCCTTGGAAGACTACTTTCCTTTATGAGCAGGGGGGGTTCTCCACGTAACCATGTTTCTGTTCGTGCGATGTGCGATCTGCGATCCCATCGATGGCCATCCCTCACCGCCCATCTCTTCCGTTCCCTTTAGGGTCCAGGACCCTCCGTTGCTCGGATGCCCTGCCAGGCCCCCCCCCCAGGCAGATCGACCAGGTCGTCCCAGTACGGAGGTACCTGGACCCTAGGGGACTCACTTCAGGTCGTCCCAGTGGCATCTTCACCTTAATGACCTCCCCAGACTTGGCACTGGCAGGGTGCGTCTCGCTGTCGTTCCCCGTCTTACCTGGGACTTCGGTTTGCCAAGCAGCAGGAGGTTCTAATGTAGACTCTTGATTGATAACCATCCCTCAGTTGAATTGGTCATTAATCAAGAGTTCGGATTATGAGCTGTGAAGCATGATGAACAGGGACCATCCTCCGACAAAAGGATGAAGGTATCGCTAAACAAGCTAAACATTATTACTATTTTTCAAGGATACTCAAGGTATCTGAAATGGAACACAGCCTGGGGATCGGGGTTGTCCCGCTTCGAATGATTCAGTTCAAGGTGGGTCATTTTAGGCGTTGCATGTCATGCACCTTTAACTCAGGTCCCTTAGCTCCTCCTTTTGATACCCAAAGTAACGGATGATCAAACTGAGGAAGGCGCAATTCAATGGCTACACTGCCTTTAGTGAGAACAACAAATGATCATAGTTGGATCAACAGTTCCGGTGCTGCTTAAACTGTGTGTCTTGTCAAAGTCACATCTGGGTCGTTGAATCCGGTTCTCCCGGGTGATGTCAAAAAGCTCGCTTCGTCAGGTTGCTAGAGCGGCTTATTATGTTGATGGAAAAACCTGCATCATCTGGAACAGTCCAGACATTTCAAAGCCCTCTATCAGAAACATCTCAGAAAGGAACTGGTAGGTGGGAAGTAATGCTCTACACTACATCTCTTAGCTACAAAGCAACTTCTCCCTCAACTACTGAACTAATTACAGTGGTAATGGAATAAGAACCACAGATCGACCCTTCTTGAGCCGCCAGACTTCTGGAATTGACCGGTCTGTCCATGCCCTCATCCGCCTCATAATCCAAGCGGCGATCTACCTTACTGAGGAGCTCCTCAAACTCACATGGCACCTGGGCGTGATCATCATCCGAGAGGGGCAGGTAGCACCATCTGTCTGACGACATGCGCTGCCTCCCCCCTGCCCAAAAATGGGAAAATATTCCACAGGCGCAGGTTGGGGATAGCATGTTTGCTGTAAAGGACTTCTCTTGTGTGCAGCTTGGCGTGAATAGGGTCTGATAGGATTCGGGTGCTTCTTCTATCTCTCTTTGGAAGTCTTTGGTTGTTTCACAGTGGATGAGATGAGCTGATCACATACTCCCACCGTGGTGTCATACTCCCACCGTGCTGTTCACACACATCCCACCTGGCTCGTGTGAACGGTGATGGCTGGGCAGTAACCTGTACGGATCTGCCCAGGGTGGTCAAAGACCACGACCTGTCCGTGCCGTTCGGCCGCGCCGGGAGACCGCACGGTCGTGCTGGTCGGTCGAGCTCGCTGCGGGAGATGAGACCCGTCGCCACTGCGGGAGATGAGACGCGATGCTCTTGCGCTTGGAAAACATGTCAGCCACACTCAAAAACGCCCCTCTGGAAGAATCCGAACATGCTAAGAAACGATCTGGCTCTTTGGCCCCAACTCAAGTGTCAGCCGTCTGCACGGTTTTTGAGGCCCAACACATTCAACCATCCAATCCATCCATCGCCGTCTCGCACACCTCCGTCGGCCTCGGCTTCACGTCGCACCCCGTCGGTCTCGGCGCTCGCTCGCGGTCCTGCGCGAGGAAGGTCTCGGCATCCGCCGCGGCGTCGCTGCTGGTGGAGGCCACCATGCCGCGGCGCAGCTGCGAGGGATCCACGCCGCCTGGGGATCTAAACGGCAGGCCATGAAAAGGACATCAAGTAGAAGGGGAAGAACATGGAAGAACCATATATTAAAAAAAAACATGAACAAACATAAAGGTAAACGTCAACAAAGAAGAATAACAAGAAGGGGTGGAAGAGGGTAGCGGACTCTGGTGAGTAACAGAGTAACATCCACCCCTATTATTCAATATAGTACCTATAAAAAAATACGAAAAAAAAAAAAAAACTATTTGGTCATCCACCGTTGTGTTGCTTTCCGTCGCCAGCTCCAGCCTCCCAACGCGCTAGTTTCGATCCCCCAAACCCACCAAGGCACCCAGGTTCACACTCACCACGTCGCCGCCTGAGGCTTCGGAGATCCTGGGCGAGAGCCGGGGACCCCATCCCGCCCCCCCGGGCGAAACAGGCCTGCCAATGCGGCAGCGTGCCGAAACGGGGCGAGGCTTGAAGTTCTCCCATGCTGTGGCACAATGTCCCCCTAGCAATAGAGGGTTTCTGAGATGATGGTTGGCTTCTGAATACTGAAAGCTTCATTGCACATCATGAGACGTCACACAACCCCTGCAAACATCCACGTCTTGGGCCCACCACCTGCACCGCAGACTCCAGATCTGGCGATCGTCCGTCCCAGCCCGGATCGAGGCGCTTCTTGCCCCCGCGGAAGACGGACTTCACCTCGCCGACCAAGCCACCAGGTGCGAAGATCACCTCAGAGGTGGGACTTCCACCGACGCGGGTGGAAGAAACACCCCTGGTGGGATCGAGAGGTGCGGTCGTAACAATGCCACCTGCTGGGAGCGTTTTTCGAAGGCATGAGAAGGGGCATCCAAAAAAGGAAACAGGCCTGTATGATCCTGGCTGGTGCTTGAAGAGGTCCAGGCTTGATCTTGTTGGTTGGCTGTGCTTGCGGGCTGTTAAGTGTTGTTTGGCTTTCCACGCGTACGTTCATGCCTGTGGGCCAGTGGGGCTCCTAGCCATCACAAAAAACAGCCATGAAAATTATAAGAAAACCCCTGGTCGTGAAACAACATTCAATAATTAAAGACTCAAAAAGTTATATATCGTTATAGATCGTTATAGACTATATTCATTTAGAATTTATCTGGAATTCAAGATCTTCCAGTCTGTTTCCTGCCCTTCTCCCAGCCCTTCTCTCACTCCTCCAACTCTCGCCATCTCTGACAGTCTGAGGCACCTTAAGCCCCGAGCGGATGGACCCCGTCTCCACGCGGCCGACGATGATGCAACCCGCTTCTGGGTGGTCGTGCACCTTCAGCACCGGTAGCCGCAAGGGCTTCTCCTTGGCAACTCTCGGTTAACGGTTAACCGCTATTAGGGGGAACCCTTCGCTACTAGGGTGGAGGCCATTGCTACTACTGTAGTAGCAAGAAGCTAGTAGGTTGGAGGCCGTTTTCCATCCATTTCATTGGAGCGGGGTGTTAACAACCCCAAAGAGCCTCCCCTGCAGCAATAACCGCCGCGCGGTAACCAGTGGTTTTTCCCGTCCAAAAAAGAGTGACCTGGTCGCCAGCGACCAGCAAACGTTTCCCTGGTGGGTGTGGGATCTCATGGCTTGAGCTGAAAACCAAGGGTGTTGCTGTAGTCGATGCAGTCGATGGGGGTGAAAACAAAAACATTCACGGCATATGGGATTTAGTGGTTCTATGTGGCCGTGGCTTGCCAAAAAAGCATGGCAAAACCTTGGCATTGAACTGAACTCCTGACATGGCTTTGACACCCAAAAAGCTGTTTCAGGTGCTAGATGGGGCTCAATCGTTTCTCATTGAACTCAGTGGATGGTTTTGTGGACGCGTTTTCCAACTGGTCTTTTTGCGTGGCAGAACCTGACCTCCTCATGGGTTTGGAGTTGGCCAACGTATGACCCTAGCCTAGGACCCAGAGCAGTACCACAGAATTCGAAGAGGGGATGATTCACCTCTGAGTGTTTGTCTTATCGGAACTATACTGCTGAGGGAACGCAGGGGACAACTGGACCCACAACTGTCCGCAAGGCGATGGCAAGTGGAATCACAGTTTGGTGAGCGGATGAGAGGAGTCTGACTGAAGGTACTTGGAAGTTCGACTCAGTGATCTGATGCACTCGACTGTGGTAAAGCTCCCGCTTACGTGGCGTCGCAAGTTAACACTCCTGCGGTTGCTTCGCCGAAAACATCAAACAAACGCTGTTTCTCTGGGAGCAAAGGGCATCGCTACTAGGTTACTAGGAATACCCGAAACCTTCGACAACCGTCGAACGCGAGTTCTTCGCACAAAAAAAGCGTCTGCGGGGCGGTTCATCTCGTTGAGCGAATCCAGTGCTTCCAGCGCCGAATGGCCGGCGTACCAAGGCATCTCCTTGAAATGACCGTCTTCTTTGGGAGGACGGTGAGTTGGACTTTTTTGGGGAACACGATTCCATGATTCTGATGTCGCAAGAAAGGCCAAGTGAAGTTTCTTGAGCTCTTTGAAGTCATGGGTGCAAGTTTGACCTGTTGTGAATCCGGCATCATGTATAGAGCTTATAGAGCACTTATTTTTGCCCAAACTGCCTCTCAGAAGGGATATCAGCCACCTGGAAGGTGAAGGTTAGTGGTCAGAAATTGATGGGGTTTGTCCAGAAGGGGGACGGCACGTTTGAACAATGACTCAATGACGCATTAGGGACTCGAGACGCATCCCGGGTTTTGGACGCCCGGAAAAAGCCCACCGTCGATTCCCAAACAACATGTATACCCTCTCCAAGAAGATCCAAGAAGTATGATAATTAGTCCACTAAGTGGACAACACCCTGTTTGCGGCGGAACATGGTCTTTCCAGGAGCTTGGCAGGAGTCCCCGGGCCCTGTATCTGCTATAAGAATACAAAATTATCATAGCAGGCCATCACCAGAAACATCGACTGCAGGGTCACATCCGTATCAGGTGGTGGTCCGAATGGTACTTGGTACTTTTGCAGCTCAAGGTCTGGGTCGCAATACCTGGGTGGTGGCCCAACGGAGATGTATAGCTATGGCCCAACGGACTCTGCACGTTTAGACAAGCAACAAAAAGAGTGACAAGTCATTTACAACCATTGAAGTGCTGACAGTTTGGATGGGTAACACAGATTCTATCAAATTCCCTAGGGCTCCAACATGCTCCAACCATATCCTCAGGTTCGGTGGTATTCGACCCCATAAATCCACCCACCCCAGTCCCATCTTCTCAGGAGGTGGGCCAGGAGCCCTAGGGATTCTACAAACAACCATCGAACACCTCTGCACCCTTTCGGGCGCACTCCGGTCCCCCGGTTCATCATAGCCATACCGACCCACCACGACATACCGAGATGGCATGAAGTGCCAAGCACCAGGACGGTGCTCGGTCCCACCCGGTGCTCGGTCCAAGTCAGGCTGAGCATCAGTAGACTTACTGGTGAGATTTTCACCTGCAGGGCCACCGGGCAGCTGTTGACCCCCGGGTGGGCACAAAGCTCCGTGCCGGTATGGCGGAGCGGGACAACAAGCATCGTGTGATTAGCAACGCAGCTTGAAGGAACAACCATCTGGTTACACAAAATGCAAACAATTGCAAATGGAACCTGCAGCCTGACTTACGTCCCCCCCATTTGCATTTTCCTGACCTTAGGGATCTTGCTTTCAAATCGAAGATCCACTCTGAGGAAAGTTCAACCAGCCAAACTCACACGTCGCGAGCTTCTTCTCAAAGGCGATACAATTTGGTTTGGAATCTAAAGGGCAAGGTATGCCAAGGTCAAACAGCTTGTTGAAGGAAGCGCCAAGAAGTGGAGAATGTCTGATCTCATTTCATCTCATGCAGGAACTGCCATCACCATGAATCCATCATGTGTGTCCACCCTATGTGGACCAGCAAGCCACTGGTTTTACGGCGACAAACGCTGTTTAGAGGCAAATCTAATGGACGAACGCACCGTGGAGTCGACTTAAGATGGAAGACCATTCGACCATTTCTCCACATGGAAATCATTGGAGGTGCATGGCATAACCCAAAACCACTCTGAACCATTGTTCAATAGCTTCATAGTGGTTCAACATCTAATTCTTCAATGTTTAATGAAGTCCAGTCCAAACCATTGGAGCTTGGAGCTTCCAATTGAATCCATTGCCTTGAAAAAACAACGCCACCTCCAGTGCTCGCCTACCACCACCCATCCAGGCCGCGCGCCTGAACGCCCACCGATCGGCACCACTGGGAAAGGATCCTGCGGCGATCAAAAAGAAAGTTCATGAATTCGTTCAGAAGCCTCCCGAGCTCCACTACAAGTCCAAAGATCCAGTACTACCTGGTCCTTTCACTTGGGTGAACAATGCATCTATATGACCGGCTGTCCAGGTCCAAATGAGATCCTCGACCCTGTAGCTACCAAATCTCTTGGGGCCATTCAGGAGTGAACATGCTGGCCAGTTTCTATGTTCAGTTTGTTGGGAGTGCATCAAGCCCCAGCTCTTCCTCGGAAGAAACATGATGAAACATGGAGCCTCCTCCTCTTTCCCAAACTCCTGCACGATTGTCTGATATGGATCCACAAAGTATGTCCGAAAGCCTAAATGTCAACTACAGGTTTTAGTTCTAGTTATGGCTCCCCAAAAAAATTGAAGGCACTGCTAGCTAAGTTCCTCCTTAGGTTCTCTGTAGCTCCTTCTCTGCGCTGCAGCTATCGAAGGGAAAAAAAGAAGCTCGTCCTTCGGCTTGTAACCCACATCCTTTAAGAACTGGGTCACCTGACTCGTCACCGCTGTCACCACCGTGCCGATGGGTCTACTGAAGCGTCGATGGGTCGATGATGGGAGGATGGAGATGGTGTCAAGCGAATCAGCATCGTTCCAATGGTCACTGCTGAACAATGGGTCTACTGCTGATCGATTCTAAATGGTTCTGATATGTCAAAACATAAGCATCGACTCATGTTTTGCCCTCCAAAATCACAGGAGCTTATGCCATCGGGTTCTGGGGCCTACCAGTTCAGTCGGGTCCTGGGGCCAAGCAGCCAGCGCAGCGCAGCAGCAGCTAGCAATAACTAGGATCCGCTGTGGCTAAAATCTCCCAACTGCTCCCACTCGTTCTCAAGATGTCGCCCATCTTGAGGCTCAAAGAGGGCGGTCTTGATGCTTCTATATGTACATGTTTTTTTGGGGGGGAGGGTCTCCTTACGTGGTGTTCCATGTTCCCAATCTTCACCGTCCTTCCCGGGAACCAACGCATCGGGAGTTCCTTCCCGTCTTTCCCAGTCTTCTGGTTGGTCCGCCCGGGCACTGCTTTTTTGATCTCTTCGTATCTAGCCATGTCAAACTGCACCGTGAAGTCATCCATTTTGGTGACCCACACCACCACGTGCCTGGTGAAGCCGTGAAAGCACGGTGGGACACCGTACAAAGGTCGTTTTGGATAAAGGAAAGGTCTGGAAGTGGAAACATGTCGAATAAACGCTCTGTACAGCAAAACGTAGTACTCTCCCTGGAACTAACATGGAAGTGGAAAACCACCGGTTTGTAGTGGAACATGGTCTTCCTTTCGGGGCCATTCTCCACGTAACCGTGTTAGTTCTTCTGCACCCTTCCCCTACAAAGATGGGTTCGCCTCCGAGAGTTTGACAGCGCTCAATCCAAGACATTTTAAATAGGGGAACACATCTCAGCATACCTTGCGCATCAGTTGAGCCTGGTGCGTGGATGAATAGAGATAAATAGAGTATGGGTCACATCATCTATATATAGATGGGCTGGGAACTTGGTGAATCCTGCAATTTGACAGCCCAAGCAAATCATATCTGTGACAGTTGTCACAAAAGCAGCACCTCTGCTGTTGAAAACACTGGCGATGCCGCGCATGATAACAGCACCCAAACGCCATCAGACTCCGCCAGCACATTAGACTCCGCCGGCAGATTCTGTTTCATCGTTCGCGCAGCGAATTTGCAACCCAGGCTCTTGATGCCCATGGTGAAGCTATCCTTGGCTTGGAGATTGGAGATTGGAAAGCAATTGAGCCTCAACCCTTTCTCAACCGATACCCAACAAATCCCAACAAAAACACATGCCTGACTGGACAGCTTCTCCGGCAAGCAGGCCCCCCAAAAATCTAGATTGGACGAACCAAAACCCACGCATGTCAGGCTTTTGTGCCGCAACTGTCTGGCACTGCAGACGTTTGGCAAATGAATCCCGCGTTCCGGCGTTCCGAGCTGGAGACATCAAGTGCCTGTGGAGGCTGAGTTGCCAAGGCAGGAAGAGGAAGAATCCAGGGAAGGCCACAACAACACGCACAACGAGACCACCACAACGACTGGAAAGCTGCTAGCCCCATATGACCTCATGTTCTTTCCAAGGTTGTGCAGAATATGTTCCAGCTAGTCTGCATATTTGATGATCAGTTTGGCAGATATGGTTGCCCCTGACCCCCCAAATGAACCGGTCCTACGATATCTAGAGAACATACATATGCATTACAATATGCTGTCAAGGGAACATATGCTGCATCAATTTTGATGTCCACCATCTCGGTGTGGAGAAAGCAGAAGCACGGCACGGAATTTGCGAGCAAAAAACGCAGGTCATTGTTTCCAGCCAGGTGCACTGGATGCAAGCCGCATAATTGGATATATTGCCCGGGCAAAACTCTCAGGTTATAGTTACAAGTAGGCCCGGCTAGATGTCAGTGATGTAATTAAGCAAAACATGCACACTTCTGTCAGCTTCAACTGCCGGAGCTTCAACCGTATATATATATATAATAATTACTTTGGCGCAGGGGTTCCGCGACAGTTAAAATGGAGTTGACCATATATTGGAAGAATATGTGTCAACGGTTCGAACGATTTCCAGAGTATGTTGCTCCACTGCTTGGCTTAGAGATGTTTAAAGGCAACAAACGCTTGGCTCTCAAAAAAAAAATGTCCCAGGCGCGCTCCCCAAGTAATTACCGACGATCAGCAGGTCCTTAGACCAGCAGGTCCTTCGCGCCCCTTCTCCAAGAAGTCCTCTCTCCAAGTGTCTAAGGCGATCTCCTTGACTCGACCGCTCTCCACAGCGGCCTCCCATTCGCCCGTCGTGGCGCTCAGCACGAGCACCGCGACGTCCGCCAGGCTGGTCACGCTGAGGACTTCTCGAGAGAGGTCCTGCAGGAGTCTGCAGGAGGCAGGAGGAGTGGTTGAGTGGGGCTGCGTATACTGTACACCCCCATTGATTTCCAATAACATCATAGGAGGGGTTGAAATTCAACACACACATAATATAGTATACATGTATAACATATGTATGTATTGTTTATTGAGTTAGTTATCATAGAGGAAATGCTTGTGGGGTTGCTTGCTTGCTTGCTTGCTTGTTGGCTTGAGCTGTTGGTTGATGAGTTGGGTTCTTGCTGCAGGTGTTACCTGAGCCGCCTTAGCCTTGGAAACCTCATTCAGTAAAGCTTCTGCACAACCAAATCCTGGCAAGCATGAGTGAAGGCCAAACCGGGGGGTGAGCGCACAGTTCCTGGGGTCGCCAAACGTTGTGCAACACGTGCATCGAGCTTCCATGTAAAGATGCCACTTTTCCACCGTGGCTGTTCATGCTCAGGGGCCCCTTTTGAAGCCAGACCTCAGCGGTCTTAGAAAAGAGAGCCATAGGCACCGGCTGCCTTTCGATCGACGTGGTTTCTTCGAGCCCTTTGTTTTCGCTACCGCTGCGCTCCCGCTACATGGTAGCGGAGCGCAAGCTCCAGCGCCTTGGATCTACGCCCGCCCTACATCCTGAAGATTGTCCTCGTGCGGACTTGGCGGCTGGACCTTGGCAAGCCCCTCTACCCTTTTTCCTTTGAGTGGGTTTTCGGCCCTGAGCATGTCCAAAGAAGATGGCAACTTCTCTATCCCATCGTGGGATGGGTCGCCACGAACGTGGCGTAAATACACCAGAGAGGTTTCCTGGTTTTTCCGAGCTACACCGGTGGCAAAGCGCCGCTATGTTGCCACCAAGCTTCTCTCTCGCCTCACCGGCCCAGCGAGGCTACTGGCTATGAGCTGGAGTGACATGTCGCTGGACGACTATGGGGGCACTAAGGTTCTGCTGCAGCGCCTGGCTGCTTCTCCGTTGGTGCGCCAGAGCATCCCCAACGCCTCGGCGATTTGCAATCAGTACTTCAGCTTTGCTCGTAAGGCTCACGAGCCTATGACCCAGTTCCTGGTCAGGGAAGCACTTGGCTTCTCTGAGTTTGTTGAGGCTTTGGTGCGCCTGGCTGAGGAGAAGCGCGGCATTCGACAAGAGGACAAGGACTTTGGCCTTCCTGCTGAGGAGGCTGACTATGAGCAAGACTATGACTCCGGCTGGGATGCATGGTGGGATGATTGGGCTGAGTGGCCGCAGGACGATGTGAACGCTCCTGACCCCGAGAATGGTGACTTCGATCCCAACGTGGCTCAACCCACTACGACATTGCCGGCGTCTACGTCCCGAGCGGAGAGTGGCTCGCCTCATGGTGGTGGATATCAACGCGTACCTCAAGGCACGATGTCTTCACCTAGCCGACGGTCAGCTGGGGTGCAGCCCTCACTGGCTGGTGAGGAGCTCAATGAGCTTAGCTTTGCAGACTCTTTCGTTCTCGGAGTCTTGCGAGGGTTCCGCCTTCTTCAAGCCGCAGGTTTGAGTGCTGATGAACGCCGAGACATTTTGTCGGCGACCCATGGATCCCTCGACTTCGATGAGGTGAACAGGGCACTCCAGACCTTATGGGACGAGCAGTTCACTGGCAGCCGCTCATCACATCCAACTCTCTTCAACTCCAACTGGCACGAATTGGCCACTGTTGAGGAGGAAGAACCTGAAGCTGAGTGGCACTCTGCCACTTGGGACTCATTTCATGTCTCCGGTGACTGGGGGCAAGAAGATTGGTCTTCATGGGATTGGGCTGATGCCTACAACGTGGAGGCCTACGAGGACAAGAACACCACCCAGGAGGAGAACGATGAGGACTTGAAAGAAGCTCAGAAAGCTGAGCGCATGGCCGAATCCTTGGCTGTGGAAGCTCAACGCTCTTGGGCTGAAGCTCAAAGAGCGACTGCCGCGCTTCGCAAGGATCGTGGCTTTGGACAGCAACCTCCCTCAGGTGGCATGGGCAAAGGACGTGGTCCCTGCTTCCAGTGTGGAGGTCCTCACCTTTCTCGAGAATGCCCCGACCGTCGACATCCTGGTCCCTACAAGGGAAAAGGCAAGAGCAAATGGAACTACATGACTGAGTATGATCCGTACACGTACGACGACTTCTTGACGGGCAAGAAGGGTGGTGGCAAGAAAGGAAAGAATGTCCATTGGCTTGACGCTCAAGCCTGGACAAAAGGCAAGAAAGGGAAGGGCAAGTCCAATGCCCCAATGGGACGACCTTCCGTCAATGCCTACAACACGGAGATGCTCTTTGGTGCTTTAGATTTGCAGGCTCAGATCAATGAGACTGAGCGCACAGTTTCTCCACCTGAGACACATGGTCTCCTGGATTGCGGGGCTACAGCTTCTGCTGGCCCTCAAATTGCAGTTGAGCAACTGATCTCAACGATCGTCGACCGTGACCGACAGGCCGTGGTTTCGATTCACAAAGAAGATCGGCCCTACTTCAGGTTCGGGAACGGCAAATGGGGACAAGCGCTTTATCGTGTTTCGTTGACCTCGGCTGTTTCTGGAAGGCCTCATTGTTTCGAACTTTATGCACTACCAAATCCACCAGGTCTTCATGATCCTTCGTTCGATCGGTCGCAACTGGTCCCCATCCTGATCGGCATGAACCATTTGGCAGGTCCACACTCATCCATGATGGTTGATTTTGCAACAGGTTTTGCCTTGGATTCTCATGAGGCCCATCCTGAGATTTACCAGTTGGAAAAGAACAAAAAGGGCCACTACATGTTGGACATCGCCTTTTTCCTCACCCGTGGTTTTACATGTCATGACGGACATCCCCACATCCATGTGATTGAGAAAGACACCTCCAACACGATCAACGACCACCACACACTTCAGTTCATGCCCTTGGAACTTCTTTCCCAAGAACATGCACGAGTTGTTCATGAACATGATGAAGCACGACTCCGACGGTCACGTCAACATTTGATGACACTACATGATTATGTTTGTGGCCGCCGTCTTCAGCTCTCAGCTGCTCAAATGCACGTGGCTGGAAGCCCGACGCCCAATTCGATTTCCCCGGACCACTCTTGCCATGTCCCGGAGCAAGGGCAGCCAGCTGACCGAAGAGCAGGGGAACAAGATCTGGGACATCAAGACGGCAGCCGCGGACTTCAGGGAGAAGATCACCGGCAGCCGCGAGAAGGAGCCACCTCGGCCCTTCGACCCTCCTCGAGGAGTCGGTCCGGATCCAAGAGATCCTCGGATGAGTCCGGAGCAGTGGCCGTGCTACGGGGAACATCATCTGGGCTCAGTGCGAGCGAACCCTCACGGTCAATGGCAACACTGCCAAGTTTGCAACATCCGCTGGATGTATGTCCCTCGCAGGGGCTCCCATGGCCAGAACACCAAGACCGATGCTCCACCCTTGGTTCAACGGATGCTGGACGAGTTGAAAGTTTTGATGAACTCGGAACGTCCATCGGCCGAGATCGTCCATGCCATGCAGAAGAAGGTGGATGCGGACATCGTCCTGGAGGACCTCGTGCACCGCCAGATCTCCAAGATCCAAGGGGAGCGCAACATGCCGGAGCAGACGGGCAAGGCTGTGGTGAAAAGCTCCGGGTATCCTTCCACCTCGCCGACGACTCCGACCTCGAGGAACAAGACAAAGGGTCAGACATCCAGTCCTTCCTCATGGGAGATCTGCACGCCTCCACCGACCACCACTTCGAGAAGGATGTCAAGCAGCTGCTGAAACCCAAGGAGATGGAACAGCTCATGCAGCTCCTCGAGGAACGCAAGGCCGTGATGGAAGAGCAAGACCTGGCTGCCATGACCGGATTGGCTCAGGCCTACGAGGAGGATGCATGACTTCATCGACTTCTTCCACTATGCCCTTGAAGAGCTCTATGGCCGCGAAGCTGCTGCTGATGGCTACAACGCTGTTGAGCTCTATGGCATCAACAACTATGGACTTCGTCCTCGATGAACAGGATGGCATTTGGGAGATCGCCTGTGCACCTCACTCGTGGCTCAGTGAAGCTTGCGACCAACAAGGTCTTCGACCTCGTCGGATCAACCTCCAACAGGGCTATGACATCTATAAGACGGCAACTTGGGAGCATTTGAAGGGTCTTCGACGCCGTCATCGTCCCCGGCGACTGTGGTTCAGTCTTCCTTGCACCAAGTGGTGCCAATGGTCCAAGCTCAACTACTCCACTGAGGAGCGCCAAGAACTGCTAGCCACATATCGCCGTCGGGAGCGACGCATGCTATGGCAAGCAGCTCACTTCATTGAAGACACCCTCAACGAGGATCCTGAGACCGACATCTATTGGGAATGGCCCTGGCCTTGTGAAGGATGGAATCAACGACCCTTGGAATACATTGCTCACCTCCTTCAAGCTCACGGCCGTGAATGGCTTCCATGCCGTGTTGATGGGTGCAATTATGGTCTCCGTGCTGATGATGGTGCTGGCGACTTTCTTCGGAAGCGATGGATGATTCGGACAACCAGCTCCTTCTTCCACCAGCGCTTCAAAGCTAAGGTATGTCCTGGCAGCCACCGACATGCCTGGATTCAGGGAGCCGAGACATCCAAGAGCTCCTACTATCCTTGGCGCATGGTCAAATCGATGGCCCTGGCATGGCGTCAAGAGTATGTCTCTGACCGCAACATGCAGCTCATCTTTGCCAAGGAAGACAAGCCCTACATGGTCCCGATTGAGGACGAGATCAACATGGAGCGCACTGCACTTCAAGCACTACCTGCTCTCCAAGAACAACCAGCGGGACAAGAACTTCTACCCGAAGGTGGTGCCACACCCAGCTCTACCTCCCTGACTCCAACCTCGGATGAGCTGAAAAAGTGGAAGGCCCGACTGGCCCATTTCCACAAAGCAGCGGGTCATCCAACTGCCCGCAACCTCGCTCGTCTTGTGCGAGAGGCTGGAGGTCCATTGTGGAAGATACAAGCTGCTCTGGAGCATACATGTGAGACCTGCAAGGCCCTCAAGCCTGGTGGCACATCATCGGGCCAAGTTCCTCCTGCAGCAACTCACGCACTACCACGTGCATGGGAGTGCATTGGTTTGGACACCTCCGAATGGCTGGTCCCTGGCCTACGAAAGAAGGCCAGATTCCTGCTGATCATCGACCTGGCCACCAAGCTTCGTGTTGTGGTGCTTCTCAAGCTCTACCCGGAGTTGGCTATGCAACCCGAGGCAACCGATGAGATCATTCAGGCACTTGTTCAAGGCTGGCTTGGTCACTACCCACGACCAAAACTGGTGGTTGCCGACAATGCTAAGAGCTTCATCTCTTCAAAGTTCCACGACTTCCTCCAGTCCGAGAACATTCAGGTCCACTACCCTCCTGAGAAAGAGCCGTGGAGTCATGGCATTGTGGAGGCCGCCATTGCTGACATCAAGCACGTGGCTACAGCGATCCACCAGGAGAACCTGAACAACAGCCCTGAGATGACTCTCACGCTGGCAGCTTCAGCCTTGAATGGCACTGAATACACCGCCGGCTATTCCTCCCATCAATGGGCATTTGGCACCAAGTACTCCATCAGCGACGAGGACATCCGCATATGGAATGCCATCGAGCCCAAGGAAGATTTTCTTCGGATCACCAAGGCTCGCTCTGAAGCGGAGGAGATTGCGCGTCGATCGCGTGCGAGAAGGGTGCTAAGCAAGCTGGCCAACACCACTGTTCGACAGCCTGTCCGACAGTATGCGCCGACAGAACTGGTCATGGTTTGGCGCAAACTTCAAGCTGGAGAACAACATCAAGGTTCTCGTGGAGGACACAAAAAGTCCGGAAGACCTCAGTGGGTGGGACCTGGAAGAGTTGTGTTTGCTGAAGCAATCCCACACCAGGACATTGACGACAAGAGGCAACACATTGTTTGGGTTCTTTTTGGACGGAAGCTTCTTCGCTGTTCAGTCCATTCCGTCCGGCCTGCAAATGAAACTGAACGACTTCGGCATGAAATTTCATCAGGGGAAGACCCCACACAATGGAAGTCCTTGGATGATATGATCCCCAAGAAGGAGTACACCGACCTTCTCGATGAAGAACCCGGCGAACTCGATCAGGAACTACCTGACCTACCAGCGGCTCCAGATGAGACTACGCTGGCTCCGATCCGCCGAGCTGTGGGAAAATCCACCCTGAAGGACTCTGACTACAAGGTCGTGCACCGATCCAGTCCAATTGGTCAAGCTCGGGCACCTCCTGCTCCAAAGAAGTATCTGCCTCCACCGCGGACAACGCCGACTTCAGAGGACTTTAAGGTTCCTGATGATGAGTACACCCCATCTCTGCCAGATCCAGAACCTGGCGATGATCCTGAACCAGAGGGCACTACATCCTTGCCTTCATCTTCTACAAGGGTCAATGACTATGGGGAGGATGAAGCGCCAGATCCAAAGAAGCTCAAGTTGGCCGACGCCAAGGAGCCAGAAGTCAAACGCCATCGTGGCGACCATGAGACTGAGTATGACCTCAAATGGTTGGATCTGCTTCGTGAAGAGGCGCAAGATGAGATCACGCACCACGACCTCTTCGCCTTCCTGGAGTCCTATGATGGTGAATGCCTTTCCATCGAAGTGGACATTGAACTCAAGAACCGGCGACAACGCCGCAGCTTCATGCAGGACCCTGTCCTCTACCTGACCAAGAAGCTCAACTCCTCCGAGGTGAACCTCAAAAATGTTAGTGCTCAGGACTTGGTTCTCTTCAACCGGGCCAAGTCCAAGGAGGTCACTTCCTTCTTGCGCAACAGCGCAGTTCGACGCTGCCTGGATGATGATGAGGCTCGTGAAGCATTTGGCAGTGGGCGCATCCTGAAGGCAAGATGGGTGCTGACTTGGAAACCTGTCACGCCTGATGAGCGTCAAGAAGCAGCACAAGATCAGCTCAACAACCCCAACACGGTGGTGAATCATGATGCCACCAGAAAGGCAAAGGCGAGGATCGTCTTGCTTGGCTTCCAGCATCCAAGCCTGCTTGAGCGCAACTTCAAAACGTCTGCCCCGGTCATCTCTACATTGGGACGCCATATGATCTACATGGCCTCCGTGACCCATCAATGGAAGTTGCAAGGACTTGATTTGGCCTCTGCCTTCCTGCAAACCGAGCCCACAGCTGCCGACAACCAGCTCTACACCTATGGGGTGCCGGAACTTCGTGCTGCACTTGGAGCTCCTGAAGATTCCCCGCGGGCTATGGCTGTCGCTCAATGAGAAGCTCACATCTCTGGGCGGCCACGTGGTTCGAGGTGAACGATGTCTATGGGCTTGGTACAGCAAGCACGAAAAGGATCCACATGGGGATCATCCTCGCCTCATCGGCCTGATGGGCGGACATGTGGACGACTTCCACAGGATTGGTGATGAAACATCAGCTGAGTGGAATGAAGTGTGCCACCTCATCGACTCTGCATACCAGTGGGGAACCATGAAGCAGGGTTCCTACAGGCACGCTGGCTCTGATGTTCACACCGTGGTTGACCGCTCTGGAAACTTCAAGATTGTGGTCGACCAGAACAGCTATGTGGAAGGGCTCATGGACATTGACATCGATGGCAACCGTCTCCGGGAGCAAGATGCTCTTCGACCCTCAGAGGTCGCAGCGTGCCGAACGGCACTGGGAGCCCTACAGTGGCTCGCTGTGCAGTCGCAACCACTCCTGACTGCGCGGTGCAACCTGCTCCTTTCTGAGGTCACCACGGGAGATCCAGGCAATGATTGCCGAATGCCGTGCTCAGGCCACATCACTCGAGTTCGTGAAGTTCGATGACATCTCCCACTGGTCCGAGGTAGTGTTCATCGGCATGGGCGATCAAGCTCACAACAACAGGAGCAAGGGCGAGAGCACTGGAGGCTTCGTGATCCTGGCCTCATCACCGGCTTGCAAAGCCGGACATGTTTGCAGGATGAGCCTCTTGGCTTGGCGCACCTGGCGTCTAAAACGCCGGGCAGTGGGAAGCAACGACGCGGAGGTCCAGGCGATTTTGGAGACGGAAGATGTTCTGTTCCGCTGCAGATTGCTATGGGCTGAAATCCATGGCGCCGGACTGAAGATCCAAAGCCTACGTGGCTTCGACATGGTGGACGCCATGGAGGAGATCGTCCGCCGTGTGCACGGCGTGCTGTGCACAGACAGCCGAGGAGGGTTCGATGCAGTCGAAGTCAATGAGTCGCCGCTACTGGGGTTGGCGAACCTTCGAAGCGCCCTACAAGCCTTTCAATTGCGCGACCACTTGAAGCGCACAGGCTGTGAATTGAGGTGGGTAGCGTCCGATTACGACCTCGGGGACGCGCTCACTAAAAAGCGGCTGGACAGCAGGTTGGGTCTCCAGAGGTTCCTCCAAAGCTGGAAGTGGGCGATCAACTTCGACCCGACGTTCACAGCAGCAAAGAAGAACAAGAAGACCGGCAAGACTGCGCTGGCCAAGCTCGATGCTCATCAGACAAAGTCTGAGTCCTTTTGTTTACCGGTGCAACACGTGCATCGAGCTTCCATGTAAAGATGCCACTTTTCCACCGTGGCTGTTCATGCTCAGGGGCCCCTTTTGAAGCCAGACCTCAGCGGTCTTAGAAAAGAGAGCCATAGGCACCGGCTGCCTTTCGATCGACGTGGTTTCTTCGAGCCCTTTGTTTTCGCTACCGCTGCGCTCCCGCTACACGTTGTCAATACGAACTTAGTGCATCAACGATACCTTCGTAAGAGTAACCATGCCACGAATGGTCCACAAACAAGACTCGGGTGTTTCGAGGAGTGGCCATTGGCCTACCACGAAGGTTTGTAGGAATTAGTGCCTTTGGCTGCTCAAACCCTGTACACTACCCTTCTGTTTACCTGTGGAGAGACATGAGTTCTGTCGCCATCTCTTCATCTCAGTCTGGTCGGGCCGCCTCTTCTAAACTCGGGCGAGTTCTTCATGGGTTCTTCTTAGTTTGTTCTTCTGTGTCATCTGCTTATCTGTCTACCTTAGTTGTGCTCTATTTATATAGATCATTAAACATCTATTTCTCCATAACTGGTGTAAATAACATGTGGGTCATCACATGTCATCACATTGTGTGATGAGTTCCTGTCAACTTGTCACCTTTGAACTGGAGCGTGCCTCTCGCCCAGGGGTATCAAAGGCGCAGTAACTGCAGTGGGCAGACTCAAACCTTAGGCCCGCTAGGAACACCCGGAGTATGGGAGTTCCCCCACACCAAGAGAACCAGGAGCACCAGCAGTGGTGTGGATATATTCTTGACTCTTGACTTCAAGAAAACTTCAAGTAAAGTGGGACAGGGGCACCCCAACAAACACCCCAAAAGGCCCTCCAAGGTAAGGAAGTCCCTGGTGCGTCCCTTCGTCTGTGGTTCGGTAACTCTAGGCCCACGGCATCCAGGAATCCAAGAGGCAAAGATCTGATGAAGCAACGGTGCACTAACCTGAAAAATGGAATCCCTATATACACTCCCTGGAACTAACATGGAAGTGGAGAATGACCCCGAAAGGAAGAATATTCCACTACAAACAGGTGGTTTTCCATGTTAGTTCTAGGGGGAGTAACTATATCCGAACAGGTCCGAAGATGATCAGTTTCTCAAACAGTTACGAACCACATGTCACTATGATTGCATCCTCCCTCCAATCCTGGAAAAGGACGTCCTGGCCCTGACCGCCGACGATTTTCCTCGACTGAGACGGTGTCCACGTAACCATGTTTGTTGAAGGGAGGGTCACTAGATCAGTTCCGACTGGAACCTCACTTGCAAACAGCCATTCCAGGACACCTCTGCATGTGGGAGGTCAACGTCGAGCCCAGTTCTCCTTGGTTTCTTGGCGCCATGGACTCGAATCGAGGGGTTGAAGAGAGGGACAGCCGTTTTCATCACTCTCAGTGCTTTCTCGCAGCCTGGGCAGCAAAAACAATTCACTACCAAACCACCTGACTAGTCTGGGCCAGAGGAGAGTTCGATGGCAGGGACCCCCAAGGTTGGTGGTTCTACTATGGACCCCCGAAGGACATCATGGGGGTGCCAGTGCCATCTGATCTCACCTCTGAAAGCCTAAGCTCGGCCAGTGGTGAAGTGAAGCCTTCAAGTGTTGCACTCATCGACTGTCTGCGGCTGGAGATCTGCCTTGGGGCGTGTGGGACTAAGTACGGCGCGTATGTCTATGCGAGCACAGGTGCAGCCTACGGCCTACGCTGGCGATCTTTTGTTCTTATTTTGTTTTATTCACAAGGTCTTGATTGAATTTACTTCTGTGGAGCCGCAGCTGACGCGCCGAGGATTTTCTGTACAAGAAATCTCAAGGAGAAGGTTCACCCGAAGGACGGTTGTCTTGCAATGCTTACGCGCATGCCCTGGGTAAGTTGAAGGGTTTCACTTGTTGAGTTGTAGAATGCTATCTGCTATTTCCTTGTCAGATCGCCAAATGGGGGCATCATGGACTAGGATGCAGGAGTCAGTTTTTTACCCACAGCTCACGAATGCCAGGCATGGCTTACGCGCAAATGACGCTCATGTGTGCGGAGGTTTTGCCAACAACATCAGCTGAGGCAAAAACACAGAACAAAAAGTTCCACAAAACCATTACTGCACATTACTGCACAATGTGTTTTTGCCAACACATTACTGCACACTGCCGCAAGTTCGCGCTGCCTCGGCAAAAAAAAGTTCCACAAAACGCTAGGATTGGCCCCGGGCCGCTGTGACAGCAAATGTGTTCAACCAGTGCCTTTAATAAAGACCAATCGAACACAGCAGGACCAACAAGGAATCCAAGGAACATTCAAAAACAAACACAAAAGCCCACACCATAATCCTGTCACCATGAGCGAACGCGCACCCTTGCGCACCCTGTCACCAGGAGCTGTTTCTGTTCGAGCATGCTCACCTGGACCCGCTCAGGAGGGCGGATGTCACTGGGCACTTCCTTTCTCGGCCGTGGAGAGTTTCGACACAATCATTTGACTTGGCACGGATGGTATGGACGATATCGCTGTGCCCCTCATTTTGTGTGTGTGTGTGTTCTTTGTTTTTTTTCAGGGTGACTCTGCCCCCGGTGCGTCCAGTGTCACCAATGCTGTGCAGGATGCATCAAACGTCACACAATTTCTATCTTGATCCATGTTCTTTCGAACGTGTCGCGCAGGGGATGCTGTGATAAGCTATCCTCGCAGCTCGTTCAAGGTCCTTGTGCTGCACTTTCCAACCAGAGGCTTGCAGGGAAAGTTGCAAACTGTATGCTGCTACCTAGTGACCTTGTGGCTGGAGATGGTGACTTACCAACATGTGGCTGGATCAAGCGTCAAAAGTCTAAATCCAAACCCACGGGCTGGTATCGCAAAGGACACTCCAGAAAAGAAATTCCGAAGTGTATTGACTTAAGACAACAAAGTGGCGCCAAGACATTGAGCATTTGCATCGATTGTTGATCATGTGCGAAGGTGTGTTTGGTTGTTGTAGCAAGTGGTTCACAGAACGGCGTTGTGTTTCTAGCCGTTTGCATTGTTTTGCGTCATGTTCGTTAACACTGTGACTTTTAAAATTGTTTTGGCGGCTCCATCTCATTTCTGGATTCCGGTAAGGTTTCCACATGTTTCCGTCACATAATGATAGCGTTCCTTGGCCACTCTGTATCCATTGCCACAACAAGGGCAGTAAAACAAGTGAAAAATGTTGGACATGATTCATGATGACTGTCCGTGCGGTGGTCTACACCCTGGAAGATTAACAGGGAACCCGAAAACCACATAAAACCACCGGGTTGTAGAGGAAAATCGTCTTCCGAAGGTCCATTTCCAGGTTCCATGTTAATCTTCCAGGGTGTAGTTCCACCCTTTGGACTAGTCCACCACGGCCTACCACACACCGCCCTGGACTTGTCGCCCAGTGGCTTTCCTCGGGGAGCCGGTCTAACATCCAGCCGTGGGAATAGCCCGGGCGGCCCAGCTCCCAAGCCAAGTCCTGACCGGTCGGAAAAGCCTTTGGTAAAAAATGTGTTTCATCCAACATTGATGGGGTGAACTTTGTTTCCAAGGTTCTGACCAACTGGGTGAACCAGTTCACCTGGACATTCCAACACTGGGAATGGCTTTGGTTTAAGTCAAAGGGGGTAGACACCAAAAGCACAGCCTCTGACCAGGATCACCTGAACAAACCGGGGGTCTCCCCGTGCAGCGATCTTCGGCAAAAGCCTTTTGCATGTTTTAAAGACCACAAAAGCAAACATGCGCCACCCAGTGCTACAGTACTAGGAGCTGGTCAAAGCATGATTCATTTTTTAGAAGTTCTTGACTGCCCGGGTTGAGGACAAGTTTCTCAACATAAGTGTTCTGTTCTGTCTGTCTCTGTAAAACTGTGTGTCTGTCTTCAGCACAGAGTTTCAAAGCGGAGCTCCAATGGTTGCTGCATCAACCAACATGTTTCAGCCAACATACCAGCTTTTTGAACCTTTGTTGAAGAGCTTCAGTAAACGATCAATCCTGCACACCACCCAACCATCTGGGGAGAAGTGAATCAAGGGTCGACCTTGAGCAGTCTACCGAATCCGTTTCTCGAACCCAGTCGATTCAATTAAGCAAGGCAACGAGTGAGAATATTGTCCTCTGACTATAAACAAGGCAACACGGGATCAACTTTAGGAAATTGATCATCTGGTTGATCACCTGAAGAAACCAGTTTGTTGTTTTGGGGATTCTCATCTTGCGGTCAAAATGTATCAGCCATCAGGCCCATCAGGCCTTCCAGGCTTAAGCCAGCCAGTTTGGGAGTCCCAGCTCCAAAATACCACCGAAACTGGCCAGCTCCCACATGCGTGTCCTTTCGGAACATCCTCTTCCGCACCGGGAATTCGACACGAACATCCTCTCCTGGCACTGCTGGTGCTCGACCTCCTCAAAGGCTCCACTGAGCGCACAAAGCTTCCCCAAAGCGGTGGTCTTGCCACATTGCGATGGGCCCATCACGGCCAAGCTCACCTGGCAAACGAGGCGCTCGACGTGCTCGACATGCCACTACCGGACCGTGAAGCGCAGAAACGAACACTGAAAAACGCTCGCGTAGCACCGGGTGAGGACCCGGAAGCCGAGAAGAATCAGGTACACACCCTTGAGTCAACAGGAGGTTCTGCCAGTTTCGATTGGGTATCGAAACTGCTGCCTGTGGCTTCGACATTGGGGCTGCGTCCCACGGCCGCAGCCGCGCCGCGGACGCGCCGTGGTAAACCCCGGGCGCCGCGGTCTTTGAGCCAAAACTCCAGCGCAAACCACAAGAGCAGCTTTGTGTTGAAGGGTTTGAAGGCGTTTTGGCAACACCAATTCGTTGAATTGCTGTAAATGTGCGCACTGTGATGCGAGAGTTGCGCTCTCATCGCTCTTGCAAGGGACGTGTTTTGGTATTTGCTAGGGGGCAGTTCTCTTTGGAAAAAATCCTTCTCTTGCTCGGGTTTGAAGCGCTGGTGTTGATCTGGATCTGTTTCTCAGGGCCTTACAATTAGGAGCGATCGGACGCTACGAACGGGGCTCCTGTCATCGCTACTAGGAACAAGAAGCTACCAGGTCTTTGATTGTTTGAGGGCCGTGAGAAAACGAAGAAAACATGTGAATAGCCCAGGCGAGCACGTGAGAAGACGATCGGGAACTTCGAAATAACGCACGGAACTTCCAATTCCAATTGCAGTGGTTTCAGAGGTTCGATGAGTTCGACGGCACGTTTCCCCCAAGATGTCCCAAACAAATAGGGGTCCATATAAACCAGCTTTAAGGGATTGAGCCATCTTCTCTGAACCCACTGTCGTTCTCATGGTCGTTCTCAACAAAGGTTGCCAGTCAGACTTGAGTGAATCTGGGAACCACGGGTCTGAGACGCTCTATGACAAGGCTAGTGGAAGGGACCCATGACAAGGAAGTTATATATCATTGAAAATTGGTGATCCAATCTTCAAACAGTCCAATGTAAAATCTATGCGGCTGTACCTTGGGTCTATCCTATTACCTGTAACAGTGGATGATGATGGTTAGTAAAGGCCTTGTAAAATAATGATTTGCTTGTTTACTGACTGTTACAGTTAAGAACGGACAGACCCTAGCTAAGCTATACCTCTTTAGGGGTGGTTGATTTCAGGGGTCCATGTGCAAACATGGTACGGATTGGGGGAGTTCTCCAAGGCACGGATTCGCTTGTGGATCTCCCGTTGAGCCCGATCCACCCAGCCATGCACCACACAAACATACCTCAGCAACTCAGGTCGGTGCCAAAGAAGAACCTAGCGCAGTGTTTGTTTCATGTTTTTTGGCCAAGTGGCGGTGCTTTTCGGTCTTAGAATGGCTTTAGACTTATAAACTTGGCCTCCCCTTGGCCCAAGGGGTTATAAATTGTGTGGTCTTGTCCACCAGCCCAGCCGTTGCAAACACGTGGTACAAGTATGTGTGAAAAATTGTGAAAGTAAGGGGGATCATGGCCACCCGTGCACCTAAGCAAACTCCAGGTCCGTTTCCAATCTTTACATATGGGAGATCCCCCGATTCCCGCCGTGACTGGCAGCCTTGGGCCTCACCTGACCGACAGCCGAAAGGCGATGTTCTAAATAAATACCAAACACAAGGTCGTTCGCGTCTCATGGTGGACTGGTTGGGCTATGTCGGGCTCCAGGTGGGTCGCGAACCCATCCCCATCTTAGTGAGTCACAGGACTTCGGAGTCTATGGTTTGATCAATCTCTCTAATCGCCATACGTAGTAGCACCAAGGGCCACGATTGACATGGTCCGGCCACCCCCAAGGTCCGGCCGATCATTGTCGAAGGATAGGCGATAAGCCCAAGAGGTCGTGTGGCTATGCTAAAAAACAGGTGCAGCCTCCAAACACAAGCAGTTTCACAAAGCACCGCATGATCTGTTTGTTTCTAGGGGTCTACCTCGGCAAAGCAAAGGCATTGCAAACTCGCAATCTGTCCTGATTTAAAAAAACCATCGCCTCAACACACCAACATAAACAAACCAGAGGTCGATGGATCTTTCGTTTCGTCTGCTCTTTCTGGACGTCGGTTCTCTGGGACAGAGCAGCTCTTTGTCCACGGCATATTGACACCACTGGAGGCGTAGCCAATAAGCGCCTGGCGATCTCCCGTTTCAACGACCACCTCCGTTGAAACATGGATTACCATGTTAGAGATGATACATGATTACCCGTTGAAACAGGATTCTCAACATGGTGATTACGATGATTGACTACAAAATGGTCACCATGTTAGAGAACTTTTTGATAAAGCACACCACAAAAAGGCGCCAGGGTGCGCAAGGGCAGGGTGCCAGGGCTTTCCAGGTCTGGAAATGGCACCACTTCGAACGCACGCCATTTGCCAGGTCTGGTCTACAAAGCCATCTGTGAGCTCAACAAACTTCTGCCCAGCCCTGACATAGAAGCTTGCATAGGATCCCATGAGAAAATGTGGAAGATCATGTTCCATCACAAAGTATATACACTCCCGCAAAGACAGTCATGGAAGTGGAAAATAGGCAATAGGCCCCTGGAAGACCATTGTTCATTACAAACAGGTGGTTTTCCACTTCATGCTGTTGACTCGGAGAGTGATTCCTTTCCATGCTTTCCACCTGACAGAGACCAAGGTTTTGCTGCCAACATCTTGAGGATTTAGGTGGACACTGGAGATCATGCTTTGTACTCTCAAAACCCTTGCTTTTGAGGGTGCGGATCCTTAGGGTAAACAAAACCATGTCACCGTGTTGCTTCAAAGATTTGTCTAACGATTCCGGCGGGATTTTGAAAGCTCAGTGGTGTGGATTGATGTCTTTGTTCAAAGGCTAAATAAAGCAGTGTCTTGTTCTATGAGTCATCGGAAGACCGTTTTGCCGATCCAGTTCCAGGTAGCAAAATGTGGGAAGCTCCAGGTAGCACGCCGCAAGTCGGACTTGGGAACGGTAGGATTATGATACAAGATGATACAAGACATGCTTTAACCATCTTCAAGCCATTTGTTGCAGGGGGATACGGCCCAACCAATTCACCTTTCTCGATCCGATCGAAGCAAGTCGTGTCCTGCTCAGCCCGGCTCTACTCCCGGCTCTATAGGAGGGGCCTTCGTAGCTCTTGGCGCAAACCAACACACCACTGGTTTGCGCATCCAGCCGGTGCAGCAGCCCGAAGGCTTCTGTGGGGTCGGAGCAAATCCTCAGGAGCCAACATCTCCAAGAAGCATGGAACTCTAAAAGAGATTGCAGTCATGGAGTCGCATCGCTACTGATGTCCTGAATCGGAAGCTTGCTCTATCATCTTTGTGAACGCCTCTCTGTGACAAACATGTCAGAACATATATATATATAATGTGCTTACAAACGGTGCCAATCATCCAACGACCGGTTGAACACATCGAAGGAACCGCTGGTGTTACCCAGTGGCGGGTAGGTCCGCGACATGTGCTTGCGAATCCAGGCCTCACGTGACGTGAAACGCGTCCAACGACCCGCTCTGGCTCAATGATCTGAAGCATGTTGATTCACTGCGCCTATAGGATATGGTCATATGGTAGAATGATCTGAAGAGCTGCTCATTCAACATTAGGGGCCCCTATAGATTCACTGCCCCTATAGATTCTGGCTCAATGATCTGTAGAATTACCTTAAGTTACATGGCTGTCATTAGAATCAACATGTCATACATGTTGGCAACAACCTGAGAGATGACACATGCCGTGAAGTTTAGAAAAGCCTCAAATTCCATGCCAAACGGCGTTGATATGCAACCCCATCCACCCTTAGTGAGTGCCACATCAAACCCCGATCCCCCTATATATATACAGAACGGGTGTCCCTGAGAGTGCGGTTTTCCATTGATTTGCAGATGTTTTTTTCTGGAAATTTTGCACCAGATAGAGACAATGATTTGCAGATGTTTTTCTGTAACTTTTGCAACAGATAGAGACATTTCAGATAGGACCAGATGTTTTGAGTATTCAGAAATACCAAAAAATACAATTTTCCTGAGGTTTGGGAATTTGGTGGTTCCAAAAAACCTGGGGTTTCCAAAAAAACAAAAAAAACAAAAAATCAAAAAAAAACAATATTTCAAAACTCTTTCTGCAGAAGCCCCAAGTGCAAAGACCTCTGGAAAATTGTTTTTTTTGTGTTTTTTTGTTTTTTTTGTTTTTTTTTTTGGTTTTTTGGAAACCCCAGGTTTTTTGGAACCACCAAATTCACAAACCTCTGGAAATGTTGCACCAGATAGAGGCATTTCAGATATGACCAGATGCTTTGAGTATTCATAAATACAAAAGACTACACATTTCCAGAATGAAAACGCAGATGAAGAGATGCACAATAATTTAGTAATAGGATATTTAAAAACAAGCTTGAAGGACACAAAAAACAGGATAAAGTGGCTGATAGAGAAATAGATGAAGACAACTATATCAATGAACATTGATGTTTGAATCATTTCCATGGCTGTTGTGCCCACTGTGGAATAGAATCTTATATTGAAATGAAGCAAGGCAAATTATCAAAAAACTTCACAGCACAAAGACTAGACAATACACTGTGCCATTCTGTGGATAATTGCACTCCATACTGTAAGTATTGTAATTGTAATGCTCACTGATTATTTTTGAAAATATGGAAGTAAAGCAACAACTTTAAGAGATGCAAAAAAAGATTCTGAAATAAAACTGTTTGATGTTGAATATTTTTTAGAAAAAATGGTGAGATAAAGAAAAAACACAGAGGTCAGAACAGTTTTGTAGCACCTCATAATAATCATACCTACCAACTTGACATATTGTTTTTTGCTTTTTTTAACCTGATGACATTGAAGCAACACAACAATTTAGAGCGGATTTAGTAATGATAGATGTTCTGAGTAAATATGCTGTGGTAGTGCTAATAAAGAGTAAAACCTCACCTGACATAATTGCTGGAACTATGGAAGGCTTAACCCCACCTGCCATAATTGCTGGAACTATGGAAGGCTTACACAAAATGGGAAAGAAGTGCAAACTTTTGTATACTGATGATGAAAGAGGTATAGCAAGTGCTGATGGTGAAGGCATTGAGGGCAAGAGGACATACTGTCTTCGCTGAAAGATTTTTAGGATATTAAAGGATAAACCATTCAAAAGAGTTGAAAATGATGAGAAGAAGGGAAAGCAGAATATACAATGGACTGACTACATATTAGAAATAATGCTGACTTATAATAAAGATGTGCATAGTGCAACAGGACTAACACCAAATGAAGCAAGGAAAGCGAAGAATGAGTTCAAAGCAAAATTGAATGTATCAGTGAAAGCAAGTAAAGAAAATATGTATCCAACACTAGAGGTGGGAGACAGGGTAAAAATAATGAGGAAGAAAGCAATTACAAAGAAAGAGAGAACAAGTCATTTTTTACAAGGTGAATATACAGTAGAAAACATTGCAACAAAATTAGGAAAACAGTATCAAACATTAGAATGATTTAATCGTCCATTATTAAGGCACAAATTGTTAAAAATATAGTTTATTTAACAAACATACATTTTAAAGGACATCTATTTAAAGAATTATTATGTTATAACACTACTAAAAATCATAAAACAGCGCACTCTGACAAACACCCGGACTCTATATATATATACTACGTATGTGAGTTTTCTGTCCTTAGCCACTGCTTGGTGGCTGGTCATGTAGGCATCTACCTCATGATGATCAACCAAATCAAGGACCCATCAATGATGATCAGTCCACTCATCGATGCCGAAACCAGATCTCTGAATGTCAAGTGCTCCAACATCGCAATACAGTCGACTCTTGATTAATAATGTTTTAATCATACAAATGGAAAACCAGAACCCCCCCATGGATTCAACATGGATTCTACCCAAATCAAGAGCAGGCTTTTTCAACACCACGGCAGCCCGTCTTTAACCGGTTGCTTCGCACCGTCTGACCCTCGCCTGCACGCGTGGCTTTTCCGGCTCCTCCTCGGCGTCCTCGTCCTCTTCAAAGGGCGAGCTGCTCCCCATGCGGGCAGCCTCGGGTACTCGGGCTGCGGAGGGTCTCGGTTGTGGAGGTGGGGCATCAGTGGTCTTCACCATGCGAAGAGCAAAGAAACAGTCTTCCAATGGCGAGGAAAGCACTCCCTACAAAACCTCACCTCCTCTTGGACTCTTAGAATGCATAAATCGGCTTATAAATTGGTTAACAACTCATCCATTGCTTCTTGGTCTCCAACCAATGCTTGGCACGGTCACCGGTGTACCCCACCTCCCCCCGTTCCATCCGACCGGTCCAGCACGCGACGCGTCCAGCCGGGTGACCTCCTTGGCATCCACCGAGACTTGCCAATGCGCTGGCTTCAAGATGGCCATCCAATGCTCCGTGGCCTGGTGATGCGTCCGATCCACCGGTCTGCAGCGAAGAATGGCGAGGTTGAAGGGAGGAGGGTTGAAGAAGATGGGGGTGAGACATGGGCGTGATACATGGCGATACAGCGTTTGAGGGTGTCAACAAATGACAGTGAACAAAGAACACAATGTTTGTCTGTGATTGTTCTCCGATGGATTTGAATTCACACTTCGCGTGGTTGGTCAAACTGTGCCACAATCAAGCCATTGCTAAGGTTGAGGTTTAAGATAATGTTTCAGAGATTGATGTCACAGTATGCTTTAGCCGCTAGCCCCTGATTTTCCAGTGAGACAGCAGGGGTGTTGTGGTATCCATTGCGGTGACAGGTTGGGAACATGTGAAGACTGACTTCCTGCTTCAGTTCTGTCAGCATCTTTGGTTTGCTTCAGTATGGGTGCTGGCCATTGACCTTGGTGCAAGTGGCAGTTGCAAGGAACTACGACCCTTGGAGGGTTCTAGGTTTGATGCTGGCTCAGACTCAAAAGTTCCAAAGTCAACAAATGACTGCGTTACACCGCATGCTTCACCAACAGCTTCACCGATGTTGCTTGAGAATCTTAGTTTGAGTCAAAACAGTTTGAGTGGCCAAAATTTATACACCAGCTTCCAACGAACTTGACAATCAAAAGGGTACATCAACAGTATCTAATAGTCCACTAGCCCGTTCAACGGGGCCACCGGAGGATCAGCTGTGCGACCGACCAACTCCTCGCTTCGGGGCCTTGAGGATCCGAGGAGCTTCCATCCCGTCCGAGTCCTCGACGGCACGGGATGGCAATCCGAGTCCCCGGGGCGCTGGGAAGTGGGGACCTGAAGAGGTGAGAGTCGAAAAACGAAAAACAAACACAGCGAACTAAATGAGTATTAAACAAACACTTCACGAATGGGCCATCACAGGGCAGTCAGTCTGAAGTTTTTAGAGTGAGAACATTGCCGGCAGGATCACGCCACCTTAGGTCTCGAGATGTCTTAGAGTTCGTGAGGCATCGAACCTAAGCTCTTTGACATCTCACCCAGTCATCCACGCTCAAACAAAAAAACGCCCACCCAGTCACCATCCTGGTGGTTCTTGTGCCTGGTGACATGGTGGAAAAGGCTCATGCAACTCATTTGGTTGGACAAGTCCTACGACTCGGAAAACGAGGTCAAAAAAACAACTGAGGGAACTACACCAACCTGCCAAGTACTCTCCCAAAATGATGCTACTGTATACGATGTTGGTCATTTTACAGTATGTTCTGAAGACCAACTTCCACAGTCTTTGGACAAGGTCAAAGAGCCAATTCACAGGATATCAAAGGATCAAACATCAAGTTGTGTTTTCGAGGCCCTACCAACAACATGAACCAGTGCCCCTCCCTCCTCCTTCGCTGGCTCTTCCGTGGTGTCCAACTGGCCAAAGGCCTGTGGACGTGGGGCAGTTGACTAGCTTTAAAGGCTTGGCGGCGACATCAGCTCCAAGCAGACATAATGAAGATGGATGATCCATCTTCAAGGCCTTGCCTCGCCAGTCCGACAAAACAACACTGGAAAAACATGTGGTAGAGTACCTGGGGCTCAAGGAGAATTCGTTCGACGACCCCTCCTCCGCGTTCTCTGAGCTGGCATTGGCCGCCTTGCCATCCGGCACCTGATGCAAAAGAACATAGCAAAAGTGTTGTGAGTCTTTGACCCTATAGGAGCAAGAATGATGAAGCTTCAAACTGCGGGATACTGCGGGTATGCATTAGCAAGTAGAACCAGCAGTGTCCAAAAGCAAGAGTCAGGACCACTTCCACGATCTTCCACAGATCAAGCATCACTTCATGACGCTATCACTACCCGTGAAGCTACACTCCCTGGAACAATCATGGAAGTGGATCACATGGCCCTAAAAGGATTACTATGTTCCGAATACCAAACAGGGGGTCATCACTCCCCTGCTGGGGTCCAGTCGTACCGAACCTCAGGTACGATGATGTGTTCGACCATTGATGATTCGGCACCTGGGTCGGGCCCAGTCGTACCGAACCTGAGGTAAGGTGGCAATGGATCCCTAGGGCTCCACTTCCATGAACATGTCGGCAAGTGCATTGCATCACCGAAGCCACTGCCCTCACAGGTCCGCTGCTGCACCTGCGCGCCACTCGCGTCTCGGGAGCGGCCCAAGCGCAGGGCTGCGCGGGTGATGTTCCGCTGAAGGTCCTCGTCCAGCAAACGAGCCTCAGTCCGAGCCACGGAGGAGCTCAGTGCTTGAGTTCCAGTGCCTGGAATCGCAACTCTTGGACCCCAGGACCATCCAACCCCAAAACGTAGGGATTCGGGCCAGCAATCGGACCGGGGCCTCAAATCCGTATGCCCTGGGAGCCGTTTTTGGGGTTTGCAGCGTCTGGGTGGATGAAAGTGGCCCCAGAATGTGCCAACTAAGCGGTGTTTTTCCTGACAGCTTGTTGGAGGCCGGAGCAGTGTGCTTTCGAAACACATCAAGCGACATATTCTGGGAGGGGTTATTTGATCGGCCGCCTGGCTGCAAGAATCACGGAAGTGGACAATGGATTTCTCTATTTTGACTTCCGTCTTTGCCGGTCATCCCTCACTCGAGCAAGAAAGGACCGAAATCACCCGGCTCGGAGGTTGCCTCTTATGGATGCCTTTCGAATCAGTCGCAGGAAGTCATCCAGAGTTGGTTGGTGGTACAGGAGCATGTCGAACTCAGGGTGTTCCTTTCGTTCCCTGCCGCGGCAGGAAAAACGCTTCCACGAGCCAAAACGTCCCTGTGAGCAACCACATCTTCAACTCTGAACATGTCTTCAACATATGTTGGCCACTCATGCTCCAATTTGAAGCAGCATCAGCTGACCCAGTCATGAGAGCAAAATGCCTAGGTGCTGTTGAGTAGGCCCAGCACAAGGAGAAGAGATGGATCGGCAAAAAATCATCTAGACCTGGATCAGCGGCAAATCAGGTTCATCCGGGCCTTCAAGAGGGCTACAGAATAAAATTGGCTAGGGACGTCAAGAGCAAGATTACTTTGCAAACATTCAGGAGAAGTAACACTCCTCATCGTTTGTAAGACCTGTCATCGTTGATCTATAAGCCTCTCTCCCCCCAGCCTCCTCAAACTGAATGGTGCCGAAGAAATGGGCTTTCTCCACAGTGCCCTGTGCTGGGCCCCAAATGAAGCTCAAAAACCCACGCGTGCGCGTGCGCAACGTGTGTACACACTGACCGGTGGCCCAGGCACGTCGCAGTGCCTCGCCCCGCAGCGTCTCGAAGAGTTCCGAGACCTCTGGAGGGATCTCTGCCTGGCAGCTGAATCCACTGCAAGTGTCCATCTCTCTCTCAGCATTCTTGCGTTTCCTTTCAGTTTTCGTCTGCACTTTCGGTTTTCTTCTGCACTTGCTGTAGGCCATCGAAGGCTACCAAACCTACTGGTGTGCTAGGAAAAATTGTGAATATATATATATATAATATATATATATATATTGGCTCCGTGCATCTGCTTGAAAACGGTTTCTCCATCCGTGTCAAACATATTCAAACATGAGATTTCAAGTGCCAAGTCTGTTACTTTCTGCACCACGTCACCAGAAGCTGGTGAAAAGCCCAGGCTACAACACCTTGCTTGAAATCCACGAGCTGCTTTGGCTTCCCACCAAGTGATGAGCTTGAAACCGCCTAACATCCACACACACACACACATGACCACGTAGCACCAGGTGGGACGGTGGGTTGCAATGAACGCTTGGCTCAAGACTTCCGACTGCGGCAAAAAACTATAGTTAATCATCATATCATCATGAAAGTGGATTACCACCTGTTGCCCCCCCCAAAAAAGGAAATTATGTCATCCTTTTGGGGAAACATGCGATGCACTTAATCATCATGGTTCCGAGTGCTTCTGCCTCAAGTCCACGAATCCAATGGAAACTTCACACAAAAGGACTATATAGACTAAGTGACCAGCACCCCGGCAAGACCGGAGAGCTCTCCCTGGACTCGTTGAAGATGACTTAGACTTCAATGACTTTGTTTTTGTTTTCGGGCTTTCTCCCAAAAGAAGGGTCAAGCTCCCCACGCTAAAATTTAAACTCACTCACTAACCCACGAACTCCATCTCTGCCTCTTGAAACGCCTGGGGCGGACTCTCCGTCTCAGGCTGTTGGACAACAGCCTGCACCTGGTGTGTGGAGTTTGAATGCCATATAATATGACAGAAAGCTGAATGCACTTGGACACACACTTGAACATTGTGTCTATTGAATTTGGGCCGCGGGAAAGCATGATAAAGCAACACATGAGTTCCGCCAGGGGTGGAATTTGAGCAGCTATCGGCCTGAACACCCTCATCTGACGGTCCATACGCTTGGAGATATTGGAGCTATGCTATGAGAAAAAACACCTTACGATGCTTAGGCCACCAAGTAAGGGAACCTCTGAAGGCTAGTGGACCTTAGATCTAACCCAAATCATCCTAAATCCAACCTCTGAAGGTTACATCAACTATGGCAGGCCGAACCTAACATGATCAGATCGCCAAGGGAGAAAAACCAAAGATTCCGAAGAACATGCACCTGGCTCTCTGCGGTGGAAGAACATCTCCGCGTCCAGCCAGCGTGAGACCCTTCTGCCTGGCCGGCGGGGCATCACGGCAGCCGGAGCCCTGCAATGCACAGCAGCAGTTTGGAGGAAAAAAGAACCTCTTCATGTAGACTCAAGTATTGTAACCTCATAGGGGGGTTGAAACGGTTGAAATATGACTTAAATATCTACTGTGTAAGCTCAAATCATTCGGTGTTGGATCCAACTGATCCAATCAGTTTGGGGAGCACTGAATTGCAGTGGAAGTGAAGCTCACTTACTCCATGACGACCTGATGAAACTGCATGTCTCTCGGTGCGGGGAAAGGGGTCCCTGCATCTCCCAAAGCGTCTGGTCCCGAGCTCATGTGCCAGCATGTTGTCACACCGATGGATCAGCTTGCCGAAGCCACAGTCCATGACATGCTCCTGGAAAAGGAAAGCCACCTGTTTGGTATTCGGAGAATGGATTTTCCTTTGTGGATACCTGTTGATCCTCTGGTACCCCACAGACGTGGAAGGGCCTATAGACAGAGCGGACCTTGGACAGTTCGCAAGTGGAGCTTGGTCATCCAAAAGGCCATTTGCCACGTAACCATGATTCTTTCAGGGAGTGTAATGGTCTTCCTAATGGTCTTCCTCTGCGGGTGTTTCAATCGCAAGTTGTGGTACACTGTATACGCATTCAAACTAACAGCATACAGCAACTAACAGGGAGCAAGTCCAGGTACAGGACCACCTAATCCTGAGCACAAAGACTGGTTTTGCCGTCCATCTTCGTAGGAACTACCCCCCACCTTGCTGCGCAGGCAGTGCAGGCCGCGCGCACTGGCCGTGTGCCAGTTCAACGCTCTATGGCGGGTGCCCAATGCCACGGCAGCTCGCCATGGTATCATCAGAATGCGTTCGCGCAGTGGGTTGAAGAGGGTTTCCCACTCTCAGCTGTGGGGTATTTTGTGCGTCAGCGCCTGGCTTCATCGTCTTCATGGTCCATGTTTCAAAGGAGATGGTGGGCGAACCCCCGGAGGTGAAGACATCCAAACATGGATTGGAGGGCACGAACATCCGACGTTTGGGATGTTTGAGGGTGGGTTTGAACATCTTTGAGTGGTGTTTTCTGTATACTTGCGCCCATCAGAAACCTAAAAACATCTGGGAACATGTCTATAAGGGTTTCTGCAGTTGAATCAGGGTGAAATGAAACTCGAACTCCTGCCAGGTCAACATGGCCACCCTGAAGGGTCCCGATCGGTTTCAAGAAATGGGTGTCCAGTTCTCAACCCCTGCCGCAGTTCTCCAGGGTGTCGGAACAAGCGCAGGGTCTCACAGCCAAACTAATCAAGCAGTCTTGTGAATACCAGGAATTAGTGATCCACAGGACCGAGAGTCCCCTCATGTAGGGGGGGCCAAGCACTTGCAGAAAGACGTTGTATCTTATATATATATATATATCCAAACATGGCTAACACACATGTCATACTGTTGTTTCAATCTGAGGAGCTCCCGCTTGCCCAATCAAAGGGGGTGGTATCTGTTCTGAAGGCCTAGGCCGCATAGGCAGCCCAAGCATCCCACAGCTCTATCCGTATCCAGAGCCAGGCGGCGTCCGACAAACCAAATGACCCAATATGACGCAATCACATGGTGGTTTGGAAAATAGGACATCATCCAGCACCAAAGGGCACCAAAAGAGAGTACCATCGAACACCACCCACTCTTCAAGGGACGGTTTGTCGGTTTGTCCAAGTCTTAGGTTCTTGATGGTTCTTGGGTCTGACCAATTTTGAGCCCCTGAGAAATGCTCCACCCAACTCCGGAGCGATCTACGAAATAACATGGCTACTTGATCTAAGCTATCAAACCCCGGCTTGATGTCGGGTGCGCCCACTACAGCAGTACCCCATGGAAGCTGGCCTGCTCGCACATCAACGCCTCAAACTTCACCAAAAACGATACTTCAAAGCCAGTAGCAAGTAGCTCACTATGCTTCACTATGCTATGACTTATAATATGCTATATACTTGGCGTCAGTAGCTCTACTCATGCCTCTCATGCCGCGTCAGAATTCGTCAAACAGGTCCAAAGACTCCAAAACCACCCCACTGGCAAGTGTCTCAGTGTCAGGGGCAGGTGTCTCACACCTGAACTCAACGTCAAACCGCCCTCCCAGTTCAGGTCAGACCTTTCTGCCCAGAGGAGCGGTCTAGCCGCTTGGCCCAGTGACTCGGAGTTCACCTCTCGACTGTGCTTGGGCTTCACCACGCACACCTTCTCAAAGAGCCGTGCCGCCTCGAAAAACGGAAAGACATGTCGATCAGATCGACGGCCCGGCGACGGCGACTGGGGGAGTTGGGTGGATTTCCCAGGCAGCTGAATGGCAGTGGACATGGCCCAACTTGAATGCAACATCTCCCTTTAAATTCATGAGACTTGTATAGACTTATATAGTAAGGCCACCCCTGGCCCATACCTTGATAGTGTATGAGGTGGGTGAATCTGCTCTAAGCCTCTAAGCGCACCAAGATTGACGTGGGAAGTCGAGCCAAGCATGCTTCTTCAAGACATAAAAACGAAACGGGGAACGTATTGCCCATACATGGGGCCCATATGGGGCCATTGGGTTCTAGTCTACTCTTGTAGGCCATTCATTCCATGACAAGCGGGAGAAGTCCACATCACCCAAGAATTCCTGATGATCTGGCCAGATCTTCTTCAAGTCTCCTTACGGTAAGGAGATGTAGAGCTCAGTGCACAGCTCCTTACTGGCTCAAAGGATCCAGGTTCCAACGCTCCCCTTCGCCCATCTCCATCTGCGGCCCCCGACGATGAAGAGTAAACTGCAGCTCACCTGGGAGAGTGGCTCGCCGCATGCTCTGGCTCGGCTGCAGCGCTGCAGACCGTGGGGACTCGGTCGCTTGGAGCCCAGATCGGGAGACCCAGTCAACCACCGTCGACCCCGTGTCCCAGGCCGGTGGCGGAGCGGTTTCAGCGGAGGCAACGGCAGGAAGCCTCTGCCTCTGAGAGTGGACGGAGGCGTCCCAAGGCCAAGAACGAGCTTGGCTTGGCCCTAAAGGTAGGTGGCAAAGACACTGAAAATGAGGCCTTGAAGAAACATCATAGACCCAGAATCATTTTCACGAGGAGCCAATATGTGATGATATGTGCCTCTCACCCGCCAGGGGCACATCCTTCCACATCGTCCACAGCTCAACGGCGCTCGACCTCACTTGGCGAACTGAGCCTCCCCGACCTCTGTGAATGTATCAAAGAACTTGCAAATAAAGCAAGCGCCTGCGCATGGAAAACGTGGAGCAATGAAGAAAACTCACCCCCAGCTTCTTCAAAGTGACCTTTTTTGGAGTTCCTACTACTGTAAGTGGCTTGTTCAGGCCCAAGTGACCTCAATGAGATATCAAATTGGTCACTTTGAAGAACCAGTTCCATGGTCAATGGCATGGAAAGCACTGAAGGACATACTCCCAACATGCACAGAATGGGAGTGGAAAAACACGGGATGCCGTCCCTCCGGGAATAACACTGCTGGACTCACCCCTGGCATTCCCCCAGTACAGAATATCTCACCAAACGCTGTGCTTCAGAATTGGATCCCCAAAGCCACTGACCCCAACAACCTCATGGTGTCTTTGTTGCAGAAGAGCAGCAAACCGAATAATAGCCAACAAACCGGTCCGAACATATTGGTCGGCCTTTTTTCGGTGGATTATCATTAAGAAAGAAGACATCCCCCTGCCCTTCTTGGCCTCCAGATCCACGCCCTGAGACTTCCGGGCTGGAAAGCACGACGATAACCCCCCATAGCTGCGGCCCTCAGCGGCGACCGGTTGGAGGGTCTCCTCTGTTAAACGCAGATGTCGGCGCAAATGACTTGGTCAGAATTCGTTCGCCCACACCAGACTCGCCCACAAGAACCCCACAATTCACCCGAAAACCATCTCCCACGCGATGGAATATGGAGCATCATGGAGTACGTATCTAGCAACAAGAAGCTACGTTCGGGGCTCCTGGCCTTGCTACTAGGAGCAAGGACGCTACTAGGGGCTCCTGGCATCGCTACTAGTATCAAATTGGAGTTCCCCCCAAAGATTGGAGTGGACTTCTCGCCGGCCTTCTCGCAGGGTCTCCAAAGCAAAACGCACCTGGCTTGCACTTTGCTGTCCGCGTGTTGCGCATGTCCGCGGAAGCTAACATTTCCGCATTCCGTGGTTGGGCAGGCTGAACTGCGATTCGACCGATGTGCCTCACAAAGTGCAAAAATGCAACAAAGAGATACTAACCAACAGTCACAAGAGTTTCTCACTTAGGGACCAAACACCACCCCTTTGTGACTCCTGGAGTAGTTGGTTTTTGCACATTTGGATTGGCCACCGCCTCCGTGATATAAGACCGAAAACGACTCGACATGAGACAATTCATCTGTCGTTTCCACGAAAGCCGGCGCTTTTTGCTTTTTCGACACGACTGAAGCAAAGCGTGACACTCTTTTTCGCATCTTCTCGTCGAAAGGTGATGAACACCTGCTTAGTGGACCCAGTGCTACACCTTTGGCAGACCTCCCAGAAGTGGACCTGCGCATTGTTTTCTCCTCTCTCTCTCTCTCTGCGTCCCCAACACCTGCAGCGCAGTGAAACCTTGAAATCGCAACATCTCAGAAAATTGCTGCTCCATTTTCCTAGAACATCCCATCCCCAGCGCATTAACAATGCATATACCAGTCCCGGTTTGGGACCCTCAAGCCGCATCAAATGACGTTCCATGAAAAGTGCCCTGTTCCTTACGAATGGTCTCATCATCCACACGAATTGAGCGGATCTGCCAGTCGAAGCCAGGTCCACTGGCACCACATGGCACCACATTGAAAAAAATTACAGCCTCCACTGACGTGGACGGCAACAACCCCCCAAACAGGAGCAGCCTGGACGGAGGGGTTGTTGACCGTGCGGACAGGTCGACAGCAGCTAGCTGAGGGCAGAAGACTCTCAGCAGCCACCTGTAAAAGTGACCAGCCCCATAAGAATCGGATAAATTGTGCAACAGGAGTTGCCAGTCCTAAAGGACGCCATTACTAGATCTCATATGACCTCATGCTGCCCCGGCCCAGCCAGCCTAGACTAGACTTGATGAGAATCCATTGCTGGTGTCTGATAGGTGTCGCTCTCATACGGTTGCCAAACAATAAAACAAAGCAAACAAGTACTCAAGCTGTGCAGTGCCAAAGCAACAACTACGTATAAGTGGTGGATATCCGTCTGGATCAAAGGTACTGGTTGAAACGCTGCAGAATGGCACAGGTTTGAAAGAAGCAAACATTTGACGTTGTCATGATGTGTCCGGAGCAAACACTTGCCACCTACTGATGATATGTAGATCATGTAGATCTAGAACATTCTAGAACTCTAGAACATTCAATCGCAGGTCTAACAGCTACTTAAGTGCTGTAGCTGGTCTCATTGTGCTCACTGTCCGATGACCTAAGCCATGAACCGATAGCATGGCGCTCGTAAGGACTGCCAATCCAGTCGCCCCAAAATGTCCAGCTTCGACGGTGGCGTCGTTCGCATGAGGAAACCTGAATGCCGAAGGGAAAGGCCTTGACTCATAAAGCGAGATGCACGGGCGAGCTCTTCAGAATGTTGCTGCGCCATACGAGCACTAGATTCACTAGATCGTCTAAGTAGGATATTGGCACGCTTGGCAGTTTGGCAGGACCAAGATTTTTTTCTTTAAACAACAACAACTGCAGGGTCATTTATCTGGCTTCCAAGTTCCGTGAGGGAAACTCATACATCGAGAATGAACACCCGAGGCGAAACCCAGCCGTTGGCAACGTATAAGGTTGGTTTCTTGAGAGCATAGTGGTTCTTCGTCGCACCTTTCCTGCCGGCTCCACCGGCAAATGATAGGACCAAGGTCCGCGTTCCTTCCCACTACCACTGGGTGCATCTCTCCATGCATCTCGAGTCTTAAGGCCTCAATGGCTCTCACTGCGCCAGCTGCGCCACATCCTCCGCCACCTGTGGGGCGGCATCAACCACCTGGGCAGCAACCTCCACCACGGGTGCAGAGACCTGGGCGCACAAAAGCAGCAGCGGTGACTGGCGACCTCGGAAGCACCTCTGGGAGCCTTGAGAAGAGGAAGAGGCCCGCAACAATCCATTTCCCAAACACTCCATGTATGGCCCAAACCGGCCCAAACACTCCATGTATGCCGATCAGTTGGGGCGGTTTGGGGGATCAATGTAGGCATATAATACATGGAGTGTCTGGGTATGGTATATATATATATAAATAAATACCTACATTGATCCCTTTTCAACCGCCCAAATGTGTGTTTAAATATGCCAGTTCCATTGAATTTATGGGGGTTGATGTATCTTGATTCGCAACACACCTGATCACACTGTTGTGTGCAGCGACCGAGGCCACGGCGGCCGCGGCGGCCTTGGCGGCTGACTTGAAGGACAACTGCTGAATGGCGTCCTCCGTGCCGCTGGGGCGACGCAGGACGCAACTGGTTGCGTCCTGAAATGCCGGGTTGATGGTGGCCACCCAGAACCACCCAAAAAAACCCTGATGTTTTGAGACTTCAAGATGAGATGGAGCCCCTAAAGTGGTCCAGCTCCGTGTGTTGTTCCGAAGTCGAAGTGAGGCTTTTGGAGCCCTGCTTGGCGGCCTCTCTGGATCGATTGAACGGAACCTATAGAAACAGCCGTTAAGCTGCAACTCCTGTTTTGGGCCGCGAGCTGCGAAGGTAAGTCTACATGACATCCTACTATGTGCAAGGTACAAAGTGTACATATTACATGGAGTGAAAATACACCCCCCTCAGCTAAGGTAGCTTTGCTCCCGAAGCTGGACGCGGAAAGTGCACGAGGGCTTGTGCAGGGCACGACAGTGATGTCGGCTCAAAGCTGCATGGCAGTTGTGGATGCTAGCAATCCACTGCCTACGTGGCCCTGTACGTGCATTTTAATTATTCACTCCCCGCCGCCAAAAGAAATTGAAAGTTTGGACTTGGGAGGAAAACCGCATACATATTGACAATGGATGTCATGCAATGAATTATGCTCGCTCAGGCAAAAGGTTGAGACTTGGCTCAACTAACGCCAATGCCACTGGCTCCGACTCGAGCTCCAGTCCCACGAACGGCGGTCCCACTGCCGCTGCTCGCCCCACTCGCTCCAGTTCCATGAGCTCCATCCCCACGAGGACGATGCTGATCCGGATGCACGTGGGCTCACCGGTGAGGGTGGCGGACCTCCCTTTGCCTTTGAAGCTGGGGTTCCATCACCTCCGGTAGAGGACTTGCGCTTGCCCTTGCTCTGCTGCTGGCGCTGCTCTTGAGTCTGCTTGTTGACCACATCACGCCTGGCAGCGGAGAGGTTGTCATGGCATAGCTGGCGAAGCTCCTCCATTGCGCAATATTGGCTCATCTGATGCACGCCGTCCCAAGCCAAAAGGCCACGATGGGAGTCAGGTGAGTTGATGTACTCGATGTACTCACGCAAGGAGAGGATGTTTGTGCGATAGATCACGCACCATTGCTCTGGAATGTAATCCATAGCTTGTGGATAGCGATTGGGCGCTACGTCGATGTAGGCCAGCCGTGCCAGAGAATGATCTTCGTCATATCCAAGGCCCAGGCTGACTTGCGCTTTGTTGCGCGGCGGGTTCGCCAAGTGAACATGGCAAAGCCAATCCTGCCGCTGCGCTGCCCGATAGTCATAGCCCATTTGCAGCATTCGTTCCATGAACTGGACGTCATGCTCGAAGCGATCCTCGATGCTCTGGAAGCCACACTTGTCTGCACGCTTCATCCGGCTGCGAGCGTCTTGGATCATGATTGCTTCTGGGCTCATGTTTCCACGGCCGCTTGCAGACACCACACGCAGATTGAGGCCAGCCTTGATGTAGTCGCTGACTGGGCACTCAGTGCGAGCGAGGCCGGCCCTCGCAAGCTGCTGCTTTCGGAGAACTGAAAGTCTGGTGACCGCTTCCTCCGGCAGCTCGGTGTTGGTGGCAAGTTCGGCCGAGCAAATGTCACAGTGGGTCATGCCCCTGAGGACTAGACCCTTGCACTGGCTGCATTCGACCTGGATCACCGTCAGCTTCCGTCCCTTTCGAAGCGTCGGGGCGGTGATCGGTGCATCAAAGCCAGGTGGTGGCCCCGCAGGCTCAGGCGGAGCGTGCCCGCTGTAAGATGCTGCAGGTCGATCTTGCTCTGCCTCATTCGCAATGGAAGTTGGTGGAGTCGAAGGTGCAGCCTTGCTTGCAGGTGCCGATTTGCTGGTTGCAGTCAGGGAAACAGGCATTGCTTTTGCGGTTGGCCGGGGCTCGCCAGTGATGGCGGCCCGGCTCTCACCTCCATCCGCTGGAGCAGCCTCAGGTAGGCCAACGGCACTTACCCTGGTCCAGAGTGTGGACTGGCTTTCGGTGTTTTCGACGGAGACAATGTATTCTGGAGGTACCGTGTCAACCGTCATGATCCCACCGGAGCGGTTCTGGAAAAAGATGAGACCGCCATTGACTGCTTCCCGAAGTGCAACGGTAAGCCGAATGGGGTGCTTACCGCGGAGACCGCTTTGATAGTCGGTCTCCGTAATGCGACTTGCAGCCAGGTAAACATGGGCTCGATCACTGCCAACAAACTCGCCCCCGCCTGGGATAAGGCCTTCCTTGACGATCCGCTTCCAGCACGCTGGCCTCGTGCGGTGGTAAGCCAAGACAGGGATCTCATCCGCTTTGGCGATGGGCTTCCCAATGAAGGGAGCTTTGGCTTCTGGCCTGAGCGCAGGACTGCAGTACATCAAGGCTGCCGATCTGTAGTTGTCCTGTGCGCTCTTGATCGCGTGCTTGCTTTGGCCAGCAGCGGCACGCATCTTCAGAGGCCATAGTGCCACGCCCTTCTCCTCGAGTCTGTGCCCTTCTCGAATGCCCAAAAACTCGAATCGGTTTTTCTTGTCCTTTGCTGCTATGGCGATCAAGTCTTTGACGGTGAGCGGCGGGGCACTGCGGTGATTCAGGCCGAAACACCTGGCTACTTCATCCAAGTCTGCGTAGCCATCTTCGTCAACCTCAAGTCCCAGGTATTGGTCATGTTGTCGAACGACCTTGGATAGCTGGGTGAGCCAATCCTTGA